TGTCCCCATATCTTTGCAACCCTTGGTATGGTAGCAAAAACTCCTTTTTTTGCACCCCCACTAAAAATGAACAGAACCAAACAAAAAACCAACAAACTTGCCAAGAAAGGTAAAGATACGGAGTTCTGCCCCGCATGCTCCAAGGGCTCCCGAACAAAACCCTCCAGCTCCTCAGCAGGCCCTGCGCGTGGCTTAGGGCATCCCGGGCATCACCCGTGGCCTTCGCCTTCTGCCGCAGGGTCTCCAGGATCTGCGTGCCCTCCTGGACCCCACTTTAGACAGGATCTCATCCCCTCAAAACCAAAAGAGCACCACACCGTCACACACCCAATCTCAGTTTCCTTTGGGTCCACCCTAAGCACCGCAACAAAAAAAAAGAGGCTTCTCTCAAAACAAGGCGAGATGTGGGTGGTGTTCTCTCCGTTCCTTTCGCATTCGACTCGCCTCGGTGTACACAAACCCGTAGGAGGCCGGCGCAGGGCTCGTGGCGTTAGCGGCGCTTCCGGCGCTTCCGGCGGCGCCGGAGGTCTGGAGGAAGGCCGGCTTCGGCTTCAGCAACACCCAGGAGGTGGCCTCGAGCCGGGTTCTAAACCCGTGCTTCTCAGCATGCCTCAAAAATATGAAAGAGCGCAAAAGGGTGGCGTTCCCTTTGGCTTCGTGTCAAAACCAAAAAGGCTACCATCAAAAAGAGGCACACCCATATGGTTGACCCCGTGTTGGATGGGTTTTGAAGTGAAACTAGAAGGAAACCAACCGTGAGGGGGACCGATTCCTTTTTTGCGTACCACCACGGGAGATTTGAAGAACCATGGGTTTAACATGGGGGCTAGCCCCTTTACAACCATGCTAACGACGAAGTAGGCAGGGGGTCGCCATCCGCAACAAGCAAAGGAGGGTGTTGTGTCAATATGGGTCCCGACAAAGTGCCAGCCGATGGAGAAAAGAACGCCCTGGCTTCTGGCTCCCTCAAAGATTCTTGCCACTTAGTGCAGTGGAGGAACACACGCACAAGATTCAAACCTGTGCATCAATCACCTCGCAGCTTCCGTGGCACTCCAATACACCTAGACCTAGGAGAGTACCTGGAAGACCTGTGTCCAACTGAAATATATAAACTGGGACGCCCCCCCAAGTCAGAATCAACCACGGGTGTATCACGTCCTCCGAGGCCAACCTGGAAAATAATAAACAAACAAAACATGGATAAACAATGAATGCAGCAATACAGTGTTTTGAATATGTAAATAAATATATAAATAAATATATATTTACAGATGCAACCGACATCAACTGACATCAACAAACAAAAGCTGCTCATACCAACCAGGGCGCCATGCCGCCAGCAAAGGCCAAGACGGCCAGGAGGAGCCTGGTCAGACCGCACTGAGAGTGGTTTTTTGGAGTCGGTGCCCTTCTTGGGGGTGGGTTTTTAACAAGGCAGGAAGACCTAGGGAACGCACCGTTTTGGGGGATGCTCCCCCCCTTGTACGGCAACGCAATGCTTCTGAAAAAATGTCACACGTTGCAGTAAACTCCTTTGCACCCCCCCAAGGCAAACCCCCCTTTCTTGAAGATAACAAACCAGCCCTTCAAAGGCCACCCCGCTTCGGGTTTGCCTTCCTCATGCGTCGGTTGCTTCGGTCAAACTAAGGACTGCGTGAAGAAGGGAAAACCACCATTGAGGGGCCAAATTGTGAAACCAAGGCGCATGGAGCAGGTGGCCGGCAGCACCCAGGCCCTTTCCGTGGACTCCGAAATCAACCCCCGGCTCTCGAGTTCTTTGCCTGCCTTGCCGAAGACAACCTCAGCTTGGGCCAACTGAAGTAGGCTACACCTCAGCTGCCCCTTAGGGGCCTGCAAGTAGCAAAGGTTCACCTTTCGGAACCTTTGACTAAACATGGGCAAAAATTGGAAAACCACAGGGTAAAAGGCAACTGAGCTTACAACCGTGGCTGTTTGAAACCATGAGATGGTAGGGTTTGTAACCATGGCTCGGTGAAACCATGGGCATCTGGGATAGCATAAAAACATAAATAACATGGCTGTTCGATTGGGGTAATTGGTAAGGATGTGACCATGGCAAGTGGGATTCGCTTGGGTGAGTTGCCTTACAACCATGGGTAGAACCCAAGTTGGTTGAACATCCAAGTTGAGAGAGGGAAGCAAGTCGCAGCAAGTTCGACTAGCCTGCTCTCCACGGACGCCACCAAAGGATCTCCTTTGGACAGTGACCCTCTAGGATCGATCCCCACAAGTCAGGTTCCATTTGTGGATGGTACCCAAAAGCCAGCTAGGTACAACAAGCTAGAAGCAGGTTACGATTGACTGGTGGGCTGGGTGCAACTTCTTAAACACCCCTCCCTTAGTTGATAACAAAGGGCTCTTGGCCGGCCTCCCGCCACAAAATATTAACCACAGCAGGACCAGGCCACCAAACCTAAGATAACCTAAGGTGAATCAAAAAAGTGCACCAAAAAAAAATTGCAAACAAAGTAAGTTGGCATAACATGTCGATTCCTTTCGCGTTCAACAAGCAGAACGAAGAAGGAAACAAGTGCACGCAAAAGACTTGCCAAGAACAGCAGGAAACCAATTCATGGCTCGAAACTGAAAGGATCCCCACCCCACCTAGGAGAAACAAAGGGCTAAGTCCTGCATCCACAAATTCTTGTCCTTGACACAAAAGGGGAATTGTATAGGGAACGGCCTTTTTGGCGTGGATGGGCTCCACTGAATGCAAAGTCCTGAAGAGGCAAACAGGGGGACGCCCTCGAGACATCCAAATCACGACTAAACATGGGCGCAAAGCAGGAACTCGCAGGAAAGCAGGCTAACCTTCCATGACGTTGGAATCCAAAAGGGCACCAAAAGGTTGATCCACTTTGCTTGGCGGATTGGGCCCGTGCCGAAAGACTTCCCCTATTGCTGGCCGAAAGAGGACATTTAGGAAACCCAAAAAGGGCAAAGGGAGACAACTGGTTCATGGTAGGTCAGTCTGGGCACTGGCAAACCAACATGACACCGACCGGTCGATCCACATAAGCGAAGCCACCGGGGTTCCAGGGTCGGCCTCATCTTCAGTGCACGGCATGGCAGAGGCACTCACGTCGGATGGCGACAGTCTCTTCGGCAAGGTTTCCTAAGGTTGGGCTGAGTGGTTGGTGTCCTTCCAACAGCCCCGTAAAAAACAGAGACATTCTTTCACCAGCCGTTTGCTCCTCCAAAGCCTGTAGAAGTTGCTTGTATGGTTTCCAATTTTCTGCGCAAGCTTGCTGAAGTCTGGCACGTGCAGCTGCGCAGCTTCTCCCAGCGATTTGGACGTGCAAGGGGCAGGCTACGCCGCCCAGTTACAGGGTTGCTGGACAGGAACATCATCGGTTGTGTGGCGCACAGGGGAATGCGCCAACAATTGCGGGCAAAGACGACGCGTTGTTGGAAGAAGGGGAAGCCTTGAACCGCCTATGCAGGGCTTGCAGCACCATCTTGGTAATTCTGACCTCCGCATGAACGCGCCCTGGATTAAGGCACTGGGAGCCGAGTTGATTACGGTCCTGCTTTGGGAACCTCGGGCCATAGCTGCGAAGGGCACACGGCGAGGAAGATTGTCCTTAAGCTTCACGCTTGCTGAATTCAAAAACGACAGCAACCAACAAATCACTGCAACATTCAAATTCAGCTCTCAAGCAGCAAGCCAGCAGCTAGCAAGCCAGCAACCCAGGAAGCAAGCAAGCAAGCAAGCAAGCAAGCAAGCAAGCAAGCAAGCAAGCAAGCAAACAAAAATCACACATACCAAATCAATTCAATTCAAATCAAATCAAAACAATCAATCCATCCATCCAATAAAATCAATCAATAAAATCAATTAATCAAATCAAATCAAATCAAATCAAATCAAATCAAATCAAATCAATCAATCAATCAATCAATGAATGAATGAATGAATGAATGAATGAATCAATCCATCCATCCATCCATCCATCCAATCAAATTCATCAAATCAAATCAAACCAAATCAAATCAACTCAAGTCATTCAAACCAATAAATTCAATCAACTCAAATGAATTAAATCAATGAAGTCAAATCAATCAAATCAATGAAACCAATGAAATCAATCCAATCAATCAAATCAAGCCAATCAAGCCAATCAAGCCAATCAATCAAACCAATCCAATCAATCAAATCAATCCAATCCATCCAATCAATGAAATGAATGACATCAATGAACTCAAAAACAAACAGAGAAAACAATTTAATCAATGAAATCAATCAGTGAATCAATACAATCAATCAAAACCAACAATCAATCAATCAATCAATCAATCAATCAATCAATCAATCAATCAATCAACCAATCAATCAATCAATGAATTAATCAATCAAATCAATCAATCAATCAATCAATCAATCAATCAATCAATCAATCAATCAATCAAACAATCAAAGAACCAAACAAACAAACAAACAAACACACAAATCAAGCACTCGATTAATCAAAACAAATAAACAAACAAACAAGCAAGCAAGCAAACAAACAAACAAACAAACGCACAAACACGCAAATCAAGCACTCGATCAATCAAAACAAACAAACAAACAAACAAACAAACAAACAAACAAACAAACCAAACCAAACCAAACCAAACAAACAAACAAACAAACAAACACACAAATCAAGCACTCGATCAATCAAAACAAACAAACAAACAAACAAACAAACAAACAAACAAACAAACAAAACAAACACAAACACAAACAAACAAACACACAGACAAGCAAACAAGCAAATAAGCAAGCAAGCAAGTAAACAAATAACCAATCAATCAACTCAATGAATCCAACCCAATCAAATCCAATCGAATGAAATCAATCAATCAAACAGCATAAACACACAACACAACACCAAGGCTGAGGAGCCCCCCGTTGAAAAAGCAGCGAGCCCTACGGCGGTTGGGGCTCAATGGAATGCGATACGAAAGCAGTCGAGTGCTCGCCAGGGCGCTGCGGCCATGGCCAGTGCCGCAAGCTCCTTCCCCACTTGGAACCATGTCCGTTCTTGGGACGGTGATATATATATATATATACTAGGTCCTCCAGTAGAGAGGTTAGAATAAGGGTACCAACTGTTTTTGGTAGTCTCAACCTGCGGAGGTTCAACCCACGTGAGGTGAGTAGGTTGGAACCTACTTGCTACCTTCCCAACTGTCCAGTGACCGTTGACCAGTGTGTGAGTGTGTGCCTCCCGAACCCACCAAACAAAAACAGGGAGAATTTGGTTGTTTGCTTCCGTATTTGCATGGCCTCGAACCTTGTACAAACTTCCCAAACAAGAAAACAATCCGTCTACAAACAATGTAAGCGGGGAGTTTGTAAACCCAAACATCCCAACACATAGTTTCACGTTTGCAGACTCCCCTCTAAACCATCTGTCCACAAATCATGTTGCCGTTGCACGCTAACCATGGTCCCTTCACAACTACCCAAAACATGATCCACAATAACAAGGTTGTCCTTAAAGCCGCATGTTTTCCCCTAGTCAAAAACTTGCTGGTGTTCAGCCGGAATGAGGGAATGAACCTGGGGCTTCCCTTCGAGCAAACCACCTGTTGGACGGTTTTTCTCGGGGTCATTCCATTTGTCATTCCCTATCGCACCACGGAAAGGGCCTGTTCCAACGACTGAAGGGTTCCAACCCAAGACATGGGAATGGATTCATGGCCTTGCCCACAGAAAGCGCAGCAGGGGGGCAACTGGACGGAGTCACCATCCTTCAGGGACAGCCGCTGCAGCGTGTCTGACTCGCTGAGGCGATGGAAGGCTTGAACCACCAGCGGTCGGTCTACGCAGGTGATGGACACCTGGGAAACCATCGGTGCGAAGCAAAAATGCGCACAAAATGGGGCACTCTCAAACACATATCTGTTGATTCGGTTTCATATTCAGACCCCCAAAAAGATAGGCTTGGGTGGAGACCCCAGTTTTGTTTGGCTGGTTGAGTTCAATGGGAGAGCCTCGAAACTAAGGGCTGTTGAAGTTTCATATCCCAAGGGATTGTTCGAGGCCGTGATGACTCCTATGGCTTTGGGGCGACCAAGTGACCCTCTTCCAACCCCATGCTGTTGTTGACGTCAACAAAAAACTCGGCGCGTTCAGATCGCCTCGAAGATGCTTATAGAATGTGTTTGTTTGCTTGTTTGCTTGTTAAGGAGAGTTTTGCTTGATGATTTCAAGAGGTATATCTTTTATTTTTGGGGGGGCGCCTCAAAGGGAAAACCAAGGGGACTGAGCGCTCCCGTGCTTTTTTGTGGATGGTTTGGGGGGAGGGGAGCCATGGAGCTGAGCAGCCAGCGACCACAGCAGGCTGGCGAGCTCCGTTGCCTTGAGCTGCTTTGGGTTTTCGCGGCCACTGGAGTGGCTGGGGTTGGTTTTTCCATGCGAGGGGGGTATGGGGCAGCTGGTGCGATAGGGGATGAGAAATGGACCCGAGAAAAAGCATGCAACCGGTAACTGTTGGTTTCCTTTAAGGAAGTCCCTGGGTTCATTCCCACATTCCCTACTGAGCACCAGCATGATGGGGTAGCTCGGGTGCCCTCCAGCCAATTTAACTTGGAACCTGAGAGGGTGGTGAAAACCCATTGTCGAGTGCCATGTAGGGTGCACGGGAAGTGTGGTAATTGGGGAAGCTGGGGTAAGGGTGGCACTTCACAGTCCATTCCTTGAACCAGCAATGCACAAGATCCAGCAAGTTGCCTTTGGGGGTTGTGAAGTTACATGGAACTGAGACCTGGTTTGGCATGTATTTTTGCTTGGGCCAAGACCGAGGAACATGTGGCGGAACATACATTTTGTTCTCAAGCCTTGCGAAAGCGTGGCGATTCCCAAGTCAAGGAAAATGAGCTGTGTCAGACATTTGGTTCTTGTTGGCGAGCTCCGTCCATAGACTTCCGAACAGTCCCATCTACCAGCGGAAACCCCCACTACATGTTTACGCCAGAATCCAGACATGCCCACCTTAAGGTTGGAGCAAAGGTTGAGGAAGATAAAGGGACCCCGCAAGGGAGGGCTTCTCCGGGTCCCGTTCTGTCTCTCAACGCTCCTCCAAAAGGCAAACTAGGCCTTAGCAATCAACCTGGCCAAGGGTCAATGTTTCCGTCGAATCCAACAGCCAGGGCCCCTTGTTTGGAACATACAGCGACCGTCCATCAGAGACATCTGGACATCGACGACACACTCTCCAAGACGCTCTAAAGAAAACATACTGTGGATGGCCAAAATCATGCACCACCTAAGAAGCCCTGGAATGGTCTGATTCCCTGTAAAAACCAACAGACAGTGGTTTCCCATGGTTTCAAAGTGGTGCAGGATTTTGTCCATCCACAGTAGGATCAATAAACTCTGACTGCTTCATAGGGGTGTCCAATTCCATGCCTCACGGTGGGACCAGCGTCCGTTTTGCCCCCGAAAATCCGCGTCCGCAGGCCGCAGGCCGCCCCCCGCGCCCAAAGAAGCTCTTCGCCTTGAAGGCCTCCAGCTTGCGCGCCGCCTGGCGCGCCAGCTCATGGGCTCGGCCCAGCGCTCCGGCGAATCCGCCGGAAGTGGGCCTCGAGTCGAGGGTTTGGGGCGAGAAGCCTTCAGTGCAAAACAGAACAAGAAATGCCGAAACAAAACACGTAAAGTATATATAAAAGATTGAAATTATATGTGTGTGTGAGTTTTTAGTCTATATACATATATATATATATATTAAATCCCTTCTTCCTATAATGCTAAACAGTCCCCTAATACTAAAATCGATTTTTGAAAACCCCAAATCCGGAATACTACTTTTAGAATAGCCAATGCTAAACCAATTCTAAAGTAGGTATTTTCCGCCCGTGCCCAAATCCAGCCCTATTAGGGGGACCGGGGGTATGTGTTGTTTACTACGGCTGTACTACAAAGTTGCGACTTTCGAGCCGGAGCTCCGGGAGCACGTTTTCTTTTCTACGGCTGTACTACAAAGTTGAGATTTTCGAGCCGGAGCTCCGGGAACAGGGGACTCCTAATGCTAAACCGTTTTTTTTCGGGGGGATCCGCTTAGCATTAGGGGGCGGGGTGGGGCGTTTAGCATTGGGGGTGGCCTCCGCCAGCGCCGGCCTCGCTGTTTCCGGGTCCTTGGCAAGGGCCCAGGCTGCGCGAGCAAGCGCTTCCTTGGCAATGAAATAGGCCACGTGACCACGTTGCTCGGACAAGAAGTCTTCAACCCCAAACACGAACACCTGTGAAACGTACACCGGCGCACACACAGCAAAGCAGCGAAAACATACGCCAAAAACCGAACAAGAAAGTGCGCCAAGCAAACGCAGACAACCAACCAACCAACCAACCAACCAACCAACCAACCAACCAACCAACCAACCAACCACCCACGCACCCACCGACCCACCGACCCACCGACCCACCGACCCACCCACCCACCCACCCACCCACCCACCCACCCACCCACCCACCCACCCACCCACCCACCCACCCACCCACCCACCCACCCACCCACCCACCCACCCACCCACCCACCAACCCACCAACCCACCAACCCACCAACCCACCAACCCACCAACCCACCAACCCACCAACCCAACCCACCAACCCACCAACCCACCAACCCACCAACCAACCCACAAACCCACCAACCCACCAACCCACCAACCCAGGCAGTCAGACAGACGGACAGACAGGACAGACAGGACAGACGGGACAGACGGGGCAGACAGGGCAGACAGGACAGACAGGACAGACAGGACAAACGGGACAGACAGAAAGACAGGACAATAGACAGTTATGAGAGACACAAAGACAGAAAAACACACAAGCAAGCAAACAAACAAGCAAACAAAACAATTACGCAAACAAAAAACAAGCGACGAAACACACAAACAAACAAACAAACAAACAAGCAAACAAGTTTACACAAATACACACACACACACACACACACACACACACACACACACACACACACACACACACACCATCAAGCCAGCAAGCAAGAGGCACGCAGCCGGTAGCCAAATAGCCAATCGAGCAACCAAGCAACCAACCAAACAAACAAACAACTCGACAAACATCGACACAAAGCATCAAGCCAGCAAGCAGGCAGGCAGGCAGGCAATAAGGCAAGAAGGCAGGCAGGCAAGCAGGCAAGCAAGCAAGCTAACATGTGAGCACTGCAAAAAAACACCAACCAACCATCAACCAACAAGCAAACACGACCACAAGCAAGCAATCGATCAATCCAATCAAATAATCAAATAATCAAATAATCAAATAATCAATCAAACAAACAATCAATCAATCAATCAATCAATCAATCAAGTCAATCCAGCAATCAAATCAAATCAGATCAAATTAAAATGAAACAAATCAAATCAAATCAAATCAATCAACCAAATCCAATCAATCAATCAATCAATCAATCAATCAATCAATCAATCAATCAATCAATCAATCAATCAATCAATCAATCAATCAAATCAATCAAATCAAATCAAATCAAATCAAATCAAATCAATTCAAATCAAATCAAATCAATCAATCAATCAAATCAATCAATCAAATCAAATCAAATCAAATGAATGAATGAATGAATGAATCAATCAACCAACCAATCAATCAAGCAAGCCAGCAATAAAATCAAATCAAATCAACTCAACTCAACTCAATCAATCAATGAATCGATCAATTAATCACTCAATCAACCAATCAATCAACCAATCAATCAATCAATCAATCGACCGATGCATCGATGAATCGAATCGATGAATCGATGAATCGATGAACCGATGAATCAATGAATCAATCAATCAATGAATGAATGAATGAATGAATGAATGAATGAATGAATGAATGAATGAATGGCTCGATGAATCAATGAATCAATCCATCAATCCATCAATCCATCAATCAAATCACTAACTCACTCACTCACTCAATCAATCAATCAAACCAGCCTGTCAAGCAAGCAAGCAAGCAAGCAAGCAAGCAAGCAAGCAAGCAAGCAAGCAAGCAAGCAAGCAAGCAAGCAAGCAAGCAAGCAAGCAAGCAAGCAAGCAAGCAAGCAAGCAAGCAAGCAAGCAAGAAAGCCCGGCCCAAGCAAGCATGCACAAAAGCAAGTAAGTAAACAACCACGCCAATCAATGGGGCAACAAACAAACACGCCAACAAACAACCAAACAAACGAGTCTCACACAAACACACAGACACAGACACACGCGCACACACACGTGCCTGCACGCTTCGTTGGCCATATATGCTTCCTCTGCATCCCAGGCGCCGGCGACTCTGCTTTGGGCAGCCGGCTTTGTCCCAGCAGTGCCAGGGAAAGCCTCGCCATTTGACACGCCAAAGCCCTCATTTCCCGGGCGGGCAGAGGCTGCAGGGGGAATTGCTCGCAAGCTTTCGAAATAGATGAATCAATGGAACCGGCCATAGACGATGAGCCTCAGAATCAAGGGGCTCTCCAGGAACATCACAATGGTGAACACAAGCACGCGAAATACTGATGTTGCCGCATCTTCTCATCTTCTGTCGCTTCCCGCCCTAGCGCTCGCAAGCTCTCAGGCTACGCTACGCAACTTAGAAATTCAGACGGCTCACCACGTGCACAAGCGTTTGGTGGGCCAGGCGTCATCCTCATGCTCTAATACTTCTCGGGTCAGGCCCCGCGAGTGCATCAGCCAGCATTTGGACCCTCTGGCCAAAATGTGGAAGCGAAGGCGCTGGGCCACCGCAACTGGGACATACCATGAAAGACTTGCCTTCCATGGCGGCTCCCTGGGAAGCTGAGGGAAGTGAAAGGCTGGATGTATGACACACACGTACTTAATTATAAGAACTTCTGGTATGAACCAAAATTATGGGGAAACCGACCACTGAAATGGGCCCAAACAGCGTGGCGTGTTGGGACCTCAAGCCTCGCGCGCTACGGGTCACGTCTGGACAAGCCCAGCCCGTCCTGTCAGGACACACATGTTCCACAAAGGTGCCATTTCACCCGCCTTCTCCCAAGGATCCATGTTCCAAAACGGGAAAAACCTCCGCAAGAAATTTCTCCGCCCCCCGCCGACTCCGAGTCGAGGCGCTGCCATCGCCGGGCGCGCTCGCAGGCGCTGGCGGCCAGCGCGTTGGCGCGGGGAGTGGCGCGGAAGGCCAGGTGCAGCGCTTGCGGCCAGGCGAGCACCGCGCCGCCTCATCCCAAAGGCCCGGGGGGTTGGGGCGTAGCCCTTGGCGTAGCCCGGTGTGGCCGGAAGACCAGGCCTTGCTTTTGTCTGCAGACGGACCGTGTTGGTGTTACAGTACTTTGGGCCGCTAGTAGACTAGGGGAAGACTTGACAGGAAGTCCAATTGAGCCAGGATTGGCGAGCCAGCTTGGTTAAAAGGGGGGTTTTAGCGCGGAGGAGCTCCTTCACTTTAGCTCAATATATGTTTTGGCAAACTCCGTGCCCACATGTCATCGCGCATCGTTCGGCTCAGGAAAACCAACCCCAAGAGTGAAATGGGTATGCTTGGAAATGAGGTTGGTGTCCCTCTCCTTCGCAACCAACGAAGAGTGCCGTCGAAAAGGGCAAACCAAACTCGTCCGTCTGAGCTGCAAGCGCTGACGCCAGTAGAGAAGCTAATGCGGTCAGGCCTTGCGGGGGCCGAGCCGCGCGGCTGCCCGCTGGACTTGCCAACCCTTTTAAGGACCCCCGAAAAAGTACCACAACAGCTACCAAACAGCAAGGGAAGAATTAAGGTCGTATTTGAGAAAATTGAGGGGTCATGTTGCCACTCCTGATTAGCACGGTCCTTCAAATCGAAACAAGTTGACATTCAGAGTTCAGAAGAATTGCCCACTCGTGGAAGTTGTCTGCGCAACTCAAACTAAACATCCATGCCTGCCACCAGGACATGTCAATGTGTCCACCAGTCAGCATCTCAATGCAAGCCCAGGAGGTTCCAGAAAATGATTCCCGGATCCCCCTTGCCTCCGCAAATCAGAACATGCCTCTTCCTTACGTTACTCAGGCGGCGGGGATTGGCCAAATCAAGCATGATCAAACGTGTAATCCTTGGTTCTGTCACGTCCCGGCTGGGTTTGAACACAAAACCAACTTTGCCGCTCAAATGGTCTCCATGGTCTCCATGAAAAATGCAAGAGGCCAGGAACTCAGGGAGTAACTTCTAGACGCGCACTGAGCGCTGGATCCCCTCACTGGCAAAATCCATGGAGGTTGTTGTGATGGAAAGATAATCTCCTTTGACCGTTGCCGAATGTTGGCGATGAAGTGGCTCCCTAAAGAGATACAATGAACCAACTTTGCAGAAGCTGCCCAACTTGGCTCATGATTTACAAAAACACACACACCAAAAAAATAGTTCACGGGCGAACCCTCTTCAGAAACACATCTCCCCCAGTCGCCTCAACAGCGCCAGAGTGTATCGCCACTGCCCTGCCGCGCCAGCCACGCCCTGGGCGCAGTTGGCCGTGACGTGGCTCAAATCGAGGCGCCGCAGGCGTGCGCCACACCTGGGCGGAGCGAAAGAGATACAGTATTTGGCGCCCACCCGCAACCCAACTGGCTGCAAATCCAGATCTACAACATTGTTTGGTGGTTTGGTCACAAAAAGGGATCAACAAAATCAGATATTGTATACATATATATATAGATATGTGAAACCACCAGACCCCAGAAGAGGAACACACACACACACACACATACTTGAGCTGTATAACCCAGTGAACCTACAATCGGCCCCCCCAAAGTCCCCAAGTCCAGGCCACAGCTGCAGCGCGGCGTCCCAGCGCAGAGCGGCGCCGCAGGCGGTGACTAAAGAGGTGAAGGTGACGGAGCTCCTTGCGGCCTCCGCGAGGGGTAACTGGTATGGGCAAGTCTGGAAGAACCACAGACAGGAAAGCCCCTTGTCTTACCGTTTCACCACTAATTCTCCAAGCCCCAAGGTGGTAGGCTAGAGGGCAACAACCCCAGCTCCACATTGTGATAGCCAGAAACAATCAGATTCTCATTCCAGGGTTAAGGTCCATTGGTCCATGAACTCAGCTTCCTTTAAGTTGCTGTTTGGATAGGTGGTTGGCTTGGGAATATGTCCAATTTACTGATGAGCACCCCGAACCCCTGCACCATACAGCCGACCGCTCGCCGAATCACATCGCGCCTGGCCGAGGTACAGCGCCCAAGGCCAAGCCGCAGTGCCGCAGGCTTGCACGCAGCTGCCCAAGGCCACCTGGTCCTGCGGAAGGAACTGGTCTGGGGTCGTTTGACGGGTTTTGGGGGTGATCAAAGTCAGTAAATGGGGTTGTTTCCCTTTAACCCACCACTTGGGGGGCGACTTTGATCATGGTAAGATAATGAGGCCAGCTGGTTTGAGGAGTTAAGGGCACGGGTTTGGGGAAATTGGGATTTTGGACAGAACTTTGGCTGAATTGCCTTGCTGGTGCGATAGGTAGGGAATGACCCAAGTGGTTTTATTAGTGGATTCCCCAGTTTATTCCATTTCTCATTCCCTACTTATCCCAGCACCAGCAAGATGGTTGCGAAATCCAGGAATTGAAGCAGTGTTGAGAAACCCTGGTTTCTGATGATTCCCTTTTAAATCCAACCAACAATGGTTTCAACCATGGCTTCCAAGTGGTGCGATTTCGTCCATCCACAGTAGGGTCTGTTGGTGGGTGGTTTGTCCCATTCGCCGAACTTTGGCCCCCAGAAAAGGAAAACACAAGGATTCGATACCAAATCTCTGTGTGGTTTGGGTATGTTGACAGAGTACAGTATAACTGTAAGTCTAAAACTCCACGCCCTCTAATCATACCGTCCACTTCCTTTGTTGGTTCAGCATACTTCCCACCAAGCATTAACATCACCGCCTCGCAGGAAACTCGCGCTACGTGGCAATTGAATTGGTGGTGCGTTAAGTCAGCCTTCAGAAAAAAAAAAAAAAAAAAAAAAAAAAAAAAAAAAAAAACATTGGGTTCCCGCGTGGGCTAATTTGGAAAGGTGTGATTCTACTTGGATGTGTGAAGCGTTACACCGGTTTGCCGGAAACGGCAGAATTGACACGAAAAGCGTCTTAGACTCCAAAAGCAGCTCAAAAAAGTGACCCCTCCCTGCTTGGACACATACATATTCAAGGAAACAAAGGGAAACAAGGAAGCATAAGAACACCACACTGCATTCCTTCCAAAAGCCTGAAACTCCCATTGGAACCCCACGCCCCAGCCAGAACACCCAGCAAATCCATGTGGAACCCAAAAAAAGGCGTCCTCCGAAAGGAGATTATTTTAAGTAATTGCGCTTTGTTGGTTCCCTCAACCCGAGGGGCCTGGAAATAAAGGAATCTCTTTTCGGGTCTTGACTAAAAATATGTCACCAACATGGGAAAACCACCCAAGCAACCATGAAATGAAAGGTTCCCCTTTTCAGGCCTCGACTAAAACCAGTTCGTCCAAAAGGGTCGGTGTTGGACTTCGTCGGGATTCCTTCAATCTGAATGGTCCCTGGGTGCCGCGGCCTCCACGGCAAGGTTGAGCCGGAAGAGGCGCAATGAAAGCTGCCATGGGCCTGTTCCCGTGGCGCTGCTCAGCGCTTGGGCGTCCTTAGCCGAAAAGCCGACAGAGGCCACCACCAACATTGGTCCAGCCCCCTTTGTCCGCCTGCCAGGTAGGCTGGCTCGAAATGAAGGTGTTGTTTTGTGTGTCGCGTCTTTCGCTTTAACCATGTTGTTCTTTAGTAGAATCACTGTGTGCTATTGAGATCAATTGTTCTCGAAACATGGGTTTAAGCAGCTGCTGATTATGTGTCCAGATTCCGCCTCTGTGCGCCGGGAGAAGAATCCTGTATGGCTAGCCTACATTTTCATGTGGACAGACCAACTTCGGACATGTTCATGGGATATCGTGAGGTATCTACCATTGGGCCAATCGTTGCCCTTTGGCCTGCCACTTGGGAGTCTTGACAATGATGTCATGGGGCCAGTAAACCCACTTAGGACCATGTATAGGTTGCACATATAATTGTTAGGCTCTGTTTTTTGGCTTGAGCATCGTAAGAAGGCAATTTTTGTGCGCAAGTTATGTGGTGACCTCTTCGGCCTGTAATTATCTATGATTACTCTCCTGCAAATTGACCTGGAACTCTAAAACCCGCCATCTTTAGAGGAGTATCCTTTTTCCAGGACTCTGCGCCTCTCTTCAGGTTCCACGTGAATTTGCAAATGCAAGTATCCCCGTGCTCCGGGCCAGTGCGAGTGGTGACCGAGGTTGGGCAACGTGGGAGGGTAACGAACAGTTAGCCAATGCTCTCAGACACCACTAAACCCCTCCCGCTGCTACAATGCTCAGAACCCGCCAATGGGTAAATGCAGCTTAGACCTTTTGAAGCGCCTGCGATGTTTTCTTTCGGTGTCCCTAATTAGCGTCACCCGCCATTCTAAAGGGTTCTGAGGAAAGCTGCTGATCAAGGGGTGTTGATCGAAGAGTTGTCGGTTCTTATTCGCCATGTCCGTTCGGAATAATAGCTGGTAATGGCAAATTGCCAGAAAGAAGCCGAAGCCAGCGCCACCAAGATTCAACCGCAGCCTCAGAAAGACCATTGATGCCCCTGCGAATCTATTCTTGGTGCACGTTAGACGCTTCAATCCAGTCCTTTGGTGCTCTTGCCTGCCTTTCCCAGCATCGTTCAAGGAATGAAGTGATCGAAGGCTGTGCTGACTGAAGGGTTCAGAACATTTTTGTGGGAAGAACGGAATACGGATCCTAGTGTCTCTTGATAGCTTGCCACTGAGCCCGTCCTAAAATCAAGGCTGAAACTGACATGGGATCCAACTCCCCTTGCTGGCACATGCGGCGACCAGACCTTAAGGAAATTGACACATTGGCAATTGGTGTTCCGTCAAATGGGCCCCAAACTGGGCTCAACATGGCAAAGAGTCGCAATAGGTGTAGTGATTCGTGTTGAAAAGCTGATCCGGCAGATTTGTTGTGCCAAATGGAAATTTATCAACATGGTGGACCCCCTTTTTGAATTGTCTGTCCCTTTCGGAGATCGATTTCTTATTTGAGGAAGCCCGCAAAAAACCCGATACTCGCTGCAAGCGGGTCGCGCATCGGATGGAGAGCTTGGCCATAGCCTGGAGAGACGGGGTGAAAATGAAACGTCCTCTTAAAGGAAAGTAGCTTGTCTCATTACCAAGCAAGCTGACACGTATCTACGCGTGTATAAATATATAAATAGAACTATATACATATATATATATGCGTATGTGTGTGTGTATGCATGTGTGTATGGATGTGCGTGTGTATGATATGTATGTATGCACATATGCACATATGTATGTATGTATGTATGTATGTATGTATGTATGTATGTATGTATGTATGTATGTATGTATATATGTATGTATGTATGTATGTATGTATGTATGTATGTATGTATGTATGTATGTATGTATGTATGTATGTATGTATGTATGTATGTATGTATGTATGTATGTATGTATGTATGTATGTATGTATGTATGTATGTATGTATGTATGTATGTATGTATGTATGTATGTATGTATGTATGTATGTATGTATGTATGTATGTATGTATGTATGTATGTATGTATGTATGTATGTATGTATGTATGTATGTATGTATGTATGTATGTGCGTACATATGTATGCGTAACTATGCATGCATGCATGCAATTATGTGTATGTATGCACGCATGTGTAGATATGTATGTATATGCATGCATATGTGTATGTCTGTAATTATGTGTGCATTAACATAATTATTAAACAGCAACATGCGGTTCCAGTAAGCGTGAACATATAGGCGATGGTATCTGTTAAAGCTGAGCACATAAATCCGATGTTACGGACATGATCGAGTTTCATCACCAGGAGTTAGTGGCCAGCAATCAGAACACATCCTTGTATTTCTCATCTAAAAACGAAGGATCACCTGGCAAATGTATATATGGTTCATACAAAGAGACATACATTCCCTTCCCGCCAGCACACATGATTTGGAGCGCACCACGCACGCCGTTTGGACAGCCTTTCACCTGCCAAACAATGCATAGTGAGCAACACTCAGTTGGCATACCCAACCAATAGGTACACTTAGCCACATGTTCGGAGACTTTCCAGCAAATCGGTGAGTCACAATTGGGGGTCGGCTACCTGACACTGCTTATCAAAATGAGGCCCTTGTGTGGTTTTGGGCGCTAGGCCTTTAGGAAAAACTGCTGGGCTCAGCCCCCCCCTTCTGGTCCTGCAGCCGGGCGATCGCCCGAGGCCATGGGCAGTCCGTGCCCCCGCGCACGGAGAATGAGATGTGGTCCTGAGGCGTGCGGCAACTTGCTCTTCGCGCAAAATTCACCCCAAAAGTTGAAACTTGGTCTTTGGATTCTGCCCACCTGGTGTACTGCAAAATATGTTGTTTCTGAATAACATGGCCCATATTCAGTACCATGTATAATTGTGTGTGCGCGGAAACCTTGCCATGCACGGCTCGAGCAGTCCAGCTGCACGGCAGCAGCTGCCAGGCCCAGCAGCAGCGCGCTGCCCTCTTGCCAGGGGCACGCCTGCGAAGGGCAAGTCCGCTGCCCAAAGAGCCTGGGAAACAACTTGCGATGGGTTCGATAGGCAGGGAATGAGAAATGGAATGATCCCTATAAACCATCAAACTGGTGGTTTCCTTTAAGGGAATCCCTTCCCCGGGAAGGTCATTCCCTGCTGGGCACCAGCAAGATAAATGGGGAAATGTCCAAATGTTGACCAGATCAACGCAAGCAAAGGGGGGTTTAAAGGTCGGCTTTGGGCAAGTGTGAAAACTGGGCATTTTTCTTGAGATGCCTTATTTAGGTGTGTTGCACAGGGAGAACCGCAGGGAACCATGAATCTAGGCACTGAACAACCAACCCCTCCCGTAGATTTCTTGTGCTAAGAATGGACACCTCGCTTTTGGTTGGCTTATACATGCGCTAATACATGTCAAGCCTGGATAAATAGTCAGGCCAAGTCCCCTTAACCTTCCTCAGTCCCCACCCTGCCGAGCGGAGCCTTCAGCACGGCGTTCCCATGGAACGCGCTGACCTCTACCTTCAGCTCGAACATGGCCTGGGCAACTGGCAGAAAATGCAACACGGAAAGTTGACGTGTATGTGTGTTATACGTTTGTCTTGTTTGTAAGGGTGCCATGCTTCGGGCTGGTTTAAACAGTTTGAAGCGAAGCAAGAAGGAATCATTTTTTGGGGTCCCCCCATCTTGACACATGCCAAATAATTTGCAGCTTCCATATTTAATCTGCAAGGGAGCAACCACGTCTTGCAGCACCCCTTGTTGAGACCACAATCTATTGCTCCATGGCTGCATGTGATTCGCCAGCCCGACATCATGTGGCCAACAAATATGGGCCAGGGTTCGTCCAAGCGACTCTCGCGGGAACCGTCGCCATTGGCCATGTATTACCCTTGCGGTTTCCTGTCGGAAAAGCCCACAAGAAAATCCCCAAAACCCTCGCAAAATAATTATTAAAGGGATCTTCAACCCTGGAGTTCCCAACCCCAAAGGGAGCAACTCACATGCTCAGTTGCCCAAACCCAAAAATCACAAGGCTCACCTTTTGGGGGTCTTTACTAAACATGGAAACCAAAACGGGGAAAAAGGTGGGGCTCCTCCTTCGTGGCCAAAACCCAACCGCCGCTTCCGCCTGCAGCACCGCGAGCGCCAGGCGCCAGGAGTTCACTCGCGCGAGGCAGGCAGTGGCCAGCCGCGGCTGCGAGGCCCAGGTTGCGGCCCAGGGGCCTCGCTCCGGACACGGTGGGCGCGTCTTGTTCGGTGTCCAAATGTTGGTTTCCCTTAAAGAAACGAAAACACGCCAACAAACCAAAGACAATTTTCTTACGAGATCTGCTGACTTCCTAATTTCTGTAGATTGGCTGAAAAAACGTAAACTTTGTGTTTACCAGCGAAATGGTCCGCCCAAAAAATACAAAGTCCGGAAACTCAGGAAGTGAGTATGGGCGTGGCTCAAAAAGAGAAAGCCGCACGTAGGTCTTAGTCGTCTTTCCCATTCACAAGGGACTCATTTTGGGCCCCTGTTTATGAGCCACACCTTGATGGGCGTGTCTTGTTTAAATGGCGGTTTTACTGTGGATGGTTGCGCAATCCAGAACAAAGCATAGGTTCCATCGTGGCTTCCAAGAAGGTGCATCCAAGTGGTGCAGGATTTCGTCCATCCACAGTCTAAGTGTGTCTTGAATGATGGCGGTTTCTCTTTGGTTTCCCTTTCGATTTACCCGCAACAGGGCTCCCTCAAGAAACAAAAGCACGATGCTTTTCTACAAACCAATTTAGGGCAAACCGGGGAAATGCTGAACTGAACCTGGCCAGACTTGGAACCCTGCAAGGAGCCACTGCATGCTGGTGGGGAAGGGAGGGGGACGCATCCGGCCGTTGGATGGGGAGGCTAACTCGCCAAAAGAAAGCCACCGAACATCAAACACTCAGCCTCTGGCATTGACATCTGCCCTTGGTCAACTTTTTTTCAACTCGGCGCAGACTCGGCCAACTGTGCCTTCGCATGCCAATTGTGAAAAAGCACAGTTGGCGGCAAAACCGCACGCCGCGTCAGGGTCAGACTGCTGCAAGTCGCCAATTCTTGCAAGCACTGATGGCAGCACTGAAGCTGATGTCATCTGCGAGTACCTGTGCATCAGGCATCCCCTCAAGCAAGGCGACCGCTTGCTGCCATTGCCCATCTCTTTCACATGCGCTGATGGTTGCGTTGAAGCTCATTTCGTTCGCTTGCAGCTTTCTTTCAAGCATGCTCCTGAAAAGGGCCTGCGCCTCCTTCCACCGCCCACCTTTCTCACAAGCACTTGTGAGGGCACTGCAGCTGTAAACATCTGCGCGGACGTTCATGCTGGCCATGTTCTTCAACTTGGACACCGCCCACTGCCACTCTCCAGCCTTCTCGGACGCGCTGATAGCCGCGTTTATGCTGAACTGATCTGAATGCACTTGCGAGTCACGCATCGCCTCGAGCAAAGCAATGGCCGGTCGCCATTGCCCGCCTTTCTCGCAAGCGCTCATGGTTGCATTGAAGCTGACCTGATCCTGAGTTGTGCCACGTGACCAAAACGAACCACAAGCATCCTGTTGTTCGTTGATATTGCGGTGAAGCTGTAAAAACAAGAAGGACAAGTGCCACTAGTCAGATGGGTATCTGTATGCACCCGCGCTTCAGACATTTCGGCAAATAAGGCTAATCCGTGTTGCCATCGTCCGGCCTTCTCACAAGCGCTGATGCTTGCACAAAAACTGTAGACATCTGCTTGCAGGCCTGCTTCTGGCATGGCCCTGAATAAGGCCAGCGCCTGTTGCCACTGCCCACTCTTCTCGCAAGCACTGATGGTTGCATTGAAGGTGATCTCATCTGCTTGCACTGCTGCCTCAGGCATGGCCATGAATAAAGCCAACGCCCGCTGCCATTGCCTGCTCTTCTCGCACGCGCTGATGGCTGCGTTGAAGCTGAACCCGTTTGCTTGCACCCTTGCTGCGGGCATGGCCATGAGAAGGACGCATGCCTCGCGCCAAGCACGACACGCCCCGCTGCTGCACAGCGCCGCAGTGAAATCTTTGGCGTGCAGCTGCGCCCCTTGTTCGGCGAGCATCTTGAGGATCGGAGAAACCAGATCTGCGCGCTTCTCCTAGTGCGCAACAGCCCTGAATTGACGGAAGGAACACCAATAAGAAAACCCGTTTGTGGAGCACAGGACCGCCCACCTTTGCAGGGGGAAAAAAAGGAGGGTCTGGAAGAAAAACACAAATCCGTCCCGCTGCTGGCTTCCCTTGAGGAGTAAAGGTGACAAATATGGATCACCCCAATAACAAATGCGCCCCATGTGCAAGATAGTGATTCATCCATCGCCTTCCAAAAGAGGCTCAGCGCTTCCATCTTTATATAGTTGTCGGTGCGCTTTCTTGAGGCAAGCACCACCAACCTGAAACTTCAGAAACACACGCAGTCCAGCGCATTCTGCTTTTCGATGGACAGAAACCGTCAATCTCGGTCTCACATCCAGGGTGGGAGAGATTTTGAACCATAGGTAAAAATACCTCACCCCAAGTGGGAAGTCTCTGCGACAACTGCACCATTCCCACCGCCCACCCCTTCCTCTGCCAGCATCACCAAAACCTGCCGAACGGGCACCCAGCGGCAGCCTTGCATGGCCCGCGCTTCCTTCACCCCGCTTCCTTCCCGCGAGAAAAAGTCGAAATCCGGCTCTGGAACCTTTCGCCGGCTCGCACATCGTCGTCTCTTAAAAGGCCGTGGCGCGACACCTCACTGGCAACTTGCACAGAAAAGGTGCACCATGGCCACAAATAAGCCAAACACTTAAACAAATAAGCAGAAGGGCAAAGTAGAGGGCAAAAGGTTGGCTTTGGAAAAGAGAGCCAAGCAACAAGAACTCAGAAGAACCACTAGTTAGTCAAAGGTTGGCTCCTGCGGCGATTCGGCATGATGCCATGGAACACCGGAAGCAATTATGTGAAGGAAGCTGCTGTGTTTCTGTCCAGTTCCTGGCTGTTCCGGGGTACTTCTAGGAAGCAAATGGACTAATCCCACCTGGCAAAGGAAGGAGACTAACCGTGAGTAGCTGCATTTCTCACCACACAATTGGCAACATCTAAGGACATGCAATGACTGATCCTGCCAAACATGAGCGAACATTCAGAAAAAGGGTGGTTTTCCTGTACTAGATGTCCTTCTAAACAACATGAAATGCAAGGACCACTATGACAAGCCCGGCTTTTGGCAAAGATGCAGATTGTCCCGGCGAGGACTGACACCGCCGGCTGGAGCTGAACCGCCGGCACGATGTGCCTCGAGGCTAGCGTGGCCCGCGACGGCACGTTGGGACGTGGCACGTGGTCAGGTTCAGTTGGTCCATGGCGAGCTGAGCAAATGGTTGCCATCTCTTGAGAGAAAGCCAAGCGGGCGATGCAGTGCCCATCATGGGAGGCCCGTCTCGGAGAGAAGTGTCTTAAGCCCCAATCAGATTCCATGTTGGTGGGAGCTCAAGGGGCTCATGTGGCCGGAAAGATGCGCACGCGGGCCCATGATCAAAACAAGTATACCCATTCCTCACTATCAATATCTTGCGGCATGTGGCGGAGATCCTAGCTCAGTTCAACAGGTATGGCCAAATCCAAACACCTGGAGCAACAACAGCGCCTCTGCCTCTCACAGAAGTACTCACAAGTTTTCTCGCTGCGGAATCTGGGAGCTATCACGAACATTCCCAACCTGAACAATAGCGATGATAAAACACCGTACTTGCCATGGCTTGTGTTTAACTTTCTTCCCAACCTCTGGTAGTTGTCCCAAAAGGTTTGAAAAATCAGATCTGGAGCAGTAAGCTTCCGCACACCCAGTACACAACTCGCGCCCGTCGCTTTGCTCCACCGACTCAGGTTGTCCCAATGTTGAGCCTGCCTGTGCCGATAGCACAAAGGCAGCCACGACGTGAACCGCCGGATGCACGCGCAAAAAGGTACGTGCATGGCAGATTGAGGGCAGTCATGCACATGACTGTTTCAAACAAGTTGCCTCGCGTCACGGCCAAAGCAAACGGCTTTGGCTGTCTGCCCCAAACAACCAGGATCGAGGACCCTTGTCATGTGCGGGCATTTGGGTGTACCCGGTGCATCTCTGAAGGCTCCATCATCATCTACATCAGATCGGTTCTTGGCGCCTTGTCACAAGTGAAGCACATTCTCCCAGTACACCCTCCCTGGGCACATGACAATCGGCCTTGAACGTGGGGCCAAAAATCAAAACCCAGCAAAGTGTTGGGGGTTTGCTGCGACAAGTTCAGGATTCCCTTCTTACATGGGAACCTCACCACTGAGAGTGCCAGGCGCTTGCTCTTCCTCAGCTCTCTTGCACGTGCTGATCGCAGCATTGAAGCTAATATTATCTGCTTGAACCTCTGCTCCAGGCATGCCAAACAGAAAAACCAACGCCTGCTGCCACTGCCCGCCCCTTTCGCAAGCACTGATGCTCGCATTGAAGACGATGTCGTTGGCTCGCAGCTTCGCTTCTTGCATGGTCCTCTAGGTGTTCCCCAAAGTGGGAGCCACTTCTTGGTTGGCTATTTTTTTGTGTTCGCCCCCCCCCCCCCCCCTATAATTCGCCCCTCCAACAAGAAAGGGAGACAGTTTTGGTTCGGCGTGTTGATCCTGGAAAAGTTCACAAGGCAACCATCCATTCCCTTGTGGCGTCAAGCTCGCCTGAAACCTTTCGGGGCCTAGACCGAAGATGGACCAAGAAGAAGGGACGCCCAGAATATTAGCACATCGATTCATCTTGGGCTGAGTGTGGGAACATGAAGGTTCCCGTGCTTTAGCGGTCCTGAACACTCTGAAGGCCTGCTTCCACTGGCCACCTTCTTCGCAGGCGCTGATGGTAGCACTGAAGCTGTACACATTCGATCGCAACTTCACGCCCGCCATGGCGCTTAAGAGACATACCGCCCGCACCCATTGTCCGCCTAGTTGCTGAGAAGGAGCCAGTTGAAGCAACAGCTGTTCTGGGTCCATTAAAGTCACTGGTAACTCATAACACTCAGGGGCGCTTCAAGGGACTAAGAATTCTCAGTCACCAGGCCTGGGAGGGCCCTCTTTAAAACCCAAGGGAACATGAATGAAAACAAATTGGGAGTATGGTATCCTTGTTGGGAGATCCGGCCACAAAAACAAAGCGAGGGCTTCCTTCAGGTTTCCCTTTACAACCAAAAGAAAAGGTACCCTCAAAGAAAGACCCCCGAATCACCTTCCGCAATTGGAAACCGCACCTTTCTCGCAAGCGCTGATGGTGGCGTTGACGCTCGTACCATCTGTGTTCACCTGCGATTCACGCATGGCCTGGAAGATGGCGACTGCTTGTCGCCATTGACCGCCTTTCTCGCAGGCACTGATGCTGGCATTGAAACTGATCTCATTTGCTTTCACCTTCTCAGCTGACATTTCCTGGAAAAGCCCGAGTGCCTGTTGCCATTGCCCAGCTTTCTCGCAAGCGCTGATAGCGGTGTTAAACCCGATGTTGTCTGCACGCAGTTTTGTTTCAGGCATGGCCCTGAACAGGGCTAATGCTGCTTGCCATTGCCCACCTTTCTCACATGCAGCAATTGTGGCGTTGAAGCTATACAGATCTGCTTCAACACTTGCAGCAAACATCTCCTGGAAAAGCGCCAATGCCTCATGCCACTGCCCAGCCTTGGCGCAGGCGCAAATGGTCGCACAAAAGCTGTAGGCGTTGGCTTGAACCTGTGCCTCCGACAGGGCCCTGAACATGGCCCATGCATGCTGCCAACGCCCAGCTTTCTCGCAAGCGCTGATGGAGGCACTGAAGCTGTAAACATCTGCTTGCAACTTTGCCTGGGCGGGTGTGAATAAAAATAAAATATCCAGTCGTTTCTGGTGCCCTTGTAGAACAAACATGGGCAATTTGGCGCCCAGTTGCCTCTGGCATTGCCTGGAAGAGGGCCAGCGCCTGTTGCCATTCTCCACTCTTCTCGCAAGCACTGATGGTGGCATTGAAGGTGATCTCATCTGCTTGCACTGCTGCCTCAGGCATGGCCATGAATAAAGCCAACGCCCGCTGCCATTGCCTGCTCTTCTCGCATGCGCTGATGGCTGCGTTGAAGCTGAACCCGTTTGCTTGCACCCTTGCTGCGGGCATGGCCATGAGAAGGACGCATGCCTCGCGCCAAGCACGACACGCCCCACTGCTGCACAGGGCAGCGGTGAAATCTTTGGCGTGCAGCTGCGCGCCTTGTTCTGCGAGCATCTCGAGGATCGGAGAAACCAAATCTGCGCGCTTCTCCTCGTGCGCAACAGCCCTGAATTGACGGAAGGAACACCAATGAGGAATCCCGTTTATGGAGCACAGGACCGCCCACCTTTGCAGGGGAGAAAAACAGGGTCTGGAAGAAACAGCACAAAAAAGTATCAAGTCCAGCTTGGGAAGTAAAATGTTGAAACCATGAATGAAAATACCTCACTCCAAGTGAGAAGTCTGCGGCAACTGCACCATTCCCACCCCTTCCTCTGCCAGCATCACCAAGACCTGCCGAACGGGCACCCAGCGGCGGCCTTGCATGGCCCGCGCTTCCTTCACCCCGCTTCCTTCCCGCGAGAAAAAGGCGAAATCCGGCTCTGGAACCTTCCGGCGACTCGCGCATCGTCGTCTCTTAAACTGCCGTGGCGTGACGCCTCACTGGCAACTTGCACAGAAAAAGGTGCGTTTTTTCGGCGCCATGGCCATAACTAAACAACACATTTATACCACGAAGCCAAAAGTAGAGAGAAAAAGGTCAGTCGGCTTTGGACAAGAGAGACAAGCAAGAAGAACTCGGAAAAACCAATATAGTTATTTAATGAAAGGTTGGGCTCCTGCGCGATTCGGCATGATGCCATGGAACGCCGGAAGCAAAGATTCACATGTGAAGGAAGCTCCCTTTTTTTTGGGGGTGCCTCAATTGTTTGTGTCACGTCTCAGGGTGTTCCAGGGTATTCCAGGGCAACACACTTCAAGGAAGCCAAAGGATTGATCACACCCTGGCAAAGGGAGGACATTGGTTCCTGCAAAAGAAAGCGCAGGACAACAACTTAAATTGTACCGCCGACTTTCGCGGGACCGGAGCAACCCCATTCATCAGTGCATAAAACCGTGGGCAGCTACATTTCTCAACTGACTGATGCCGCCAAACATGATGGATCCTTCCCAAAAAGGCTGATCCTCCTAGTAATCCTTCTAAACAATGCAAGGACCTCTGTGACAAGCCCGGCTTTTGGCAAAGATGCAGATTCTCCCGGCGAGGACTGACACCGCAGGCTGGAGCTGAACCGCCGGGTCGGCGATGTGCCTCGAGGCGAGCGTGGCCCGCAACGGCACGTTGGGACGTTGCACGTGGTCAGGTTCAGGCGGTCCATGGCGAGCTTCGCAAATGGTTGCCATCTCTTGAGAGAAAGCCAAGCGGGCGATGCAGTGCCCATCATGGGAGGCCTTAGAAGATTCCATGTTAAGGCTAGGGCTCATGTAGCCAGAGCGATGCGCAGGCCCATGATCAAACCAAGTACGCCCATTCCTCACGGATTCCTCACTATCAATATCTTCCGGCATGTAGCGCAGATCCTACCTCTCATATGACTCCAACCCAACACCTCTATTGGGACTGACCCTTGTGGACCGAACCGGCAAGCAACACTAGGTCCTCCAGTGGAGAGGTTAGAATAAGGGTACTGTTTTAGTAGGGGAACCCTCCCCCAAGAAAGGGGAGAGAAGGGCACTACTGGGGGGACCTAGAACATGTTCCTAACACGTTGCCCCCCCTCCAGGAGCGAAAGGCAAGCGGCGTAGCACGTCTGTAACCACCACATCCTCCGCAAGGAGTTCCTGCAGTACTGGGTCTGGTCGCCTCAGCCCAGACTCTTTTCCCGAACGACAGCCCCGAATTCCTCCAGAAATCCGCGAATGCTTAAACCATCATTCCTCCACTGACAAAACCACAACTCAAGTATCAACATGCTGGACGTGCTTGCCCCAGCGTTCTTTCCCTGATCTAATTTGCACTTTAGGTGCAATAGAGCGAAAACAACGAACCGGAGTTATCCAAAGTCAGCTGCACGTGCGCCGGGCGACTTTGTTGCTGCTCGAGGCAGTGCTGCGCTGCCATGAGAAGCTACACATGACAGGCCAGCGCAGAGCATGCGCAGGGCCGTTGCCAGGCAGAGTCACAAATTGCTTCGCGCTTGCCAGCATCCAGTGACTTGGAAAGCAGTTGGATGAAAGTAGACGCATAACCTCGATCCCCATTCAGGTTGTCTAGTCCTCCTCAATTACGGACCTTGAGGGAAAAAGTGCCATTAGTATCTCCGGCTCCAATCAAAGAGGATGAGAAAATGAAAACCCCCTGAGAGGGTCGCCCAAGCTCACTGACATCCTGCTTTGGCTGACGAATAGGGGGGTGGGAGGGTGGCACTGGCGCACGTTGAGGTCCTGGGATGGCTGCGGGTTCAGCAGGGGGGCGGGGGTGTGGCCCAGGGACTATACAAACACCACGCACAAGTACACACACCCCACTCGCACACACAAGAAGAGAGTAACACCACACACACACAAACAAACAAACAAACAAACAAACGAACAAACAAACAAACAAACAAACAAAGAAACAAACAAACGCAAAACGACAAGAATACATTTGGGACAAGAAGACATTTGGGAAGGAGTCCCACTTTGGGGAGCCACTTGTGAAACATCCAGGTTGGAAGGTACACTGGGCAGGGCTGATACTGGGCAGGTGAAGCGCTGTTTGATCAACAGGTCCAGCTCAAATGGACGGCCTCAATGCTTGGTCTCCTTTTAGTTGCCCCTTAAAACACAACCAAAGGTGGTTCTCCAGAAATAGACCACATGACAAACATCGCAAGAAAGGAACCCATGCATCCCCTTTTTGTTGCTTTCCTTTGGGAAATGCACAGCAAATCTGGGAATGCTAGGTCAGCATCAGCGCAAATCCAAACACCTGGAGCAACAAGAGCACCTCTCGTATAAGCATACTTCGGAATCTGGGAGGTATCAGAAACCAGAAAAAAAGCGAGGATGCCACCAAAAAAGGCGAAACACCATACTTTGCCATGGCTTGTGCTTAACTTTCTTCCCAACCTCTGGTAGTTGTTCCAAAATAATTGAAAGTTCAGATTTGAAGCAGTAAGCCTTTCCCACCCTGTACACAACTCGCGCCCGCTGGTTTGCTTTGCTTCCCCGACGCAGGTTGTCCCAACCCACTTGAGTTGGGCCTGTGCCGATAGCACAAAGGCAGCCACGACGTGAGCCAAGCAGATTCGGCCGGATGCACGCGCGAAAGGTACGTGCATGGCACATTGACGGCAGTCATGCACATCATGACTCTTTGAAACAGGTTGCCTCGCGTCACAGCCAAAGCAAACGGCTTTGGCCGTCTGCCCCAAACAACCAGGATCAAGGACCCTTGTCATGTGCAGGCATCTGGGTGTACTCGGTGCATCTCCCCACCTTCATTTATAACATATCGGTTCTTGGTGCCTTGTCACAAGTGGAGCATGTTCTCCCAGTACACCCTCCCTGGGCACATGACAATAGGCCGTGAACGCGGGCTCAAAATTCATTAACCTGGTGTATAAAGTGTTGGGGGTTCCCCTGTTACATGGGACCCTCACCACTTAGAAGCCAGGGTGTATAGATCCGTGCCAGGCGCTTGCTCTTCCTCAGCTCTCTTGCACGCGCTGATCGCAGCACTGAAGCTAACATCATCTGCTTGAACCTCTGCTCCAGGCATGCCACCCAGAAGAACCAATGCCTGCTTCCACTGCCCGCCCCTCTCGCAAGCGCTGATGCTCGCATTGAAGAAAATGTCGTTGGCGCGCAGCTTCGCTTCTTGCATGGTCCTCTTGGGTGTCCCTCAAAGTGGAATCCACCTTTTTGTTGGACCCCTATTTCCTTGTTTCTCCAACAACAAAAAGGGGGACAGTCTCGGCTCGGCGTGTTGATTTTGGATAAGTTCGCAAGGCAACCATCCATCCCCTTGTGGCGTCAAGCTCACCTGAAACCTTTCGGGGCCTTGACTAAAGATGGACCAACAAGAAGGGACGCCCTGAATATTAGCATATCGATTCATCTTGGGCTGAGTGTGGGAACATGAAGGTTCCCGTGCTTTAGCGCTCCTGAACACTCTGAAGGCCTGCTTCCACTGGCCACCTTCTTCGCAGGCGCTGATGGTAGCACTGAAGCTGTACACATCCGCTCGCAACTTCACGCCCGCCATGGCGCTTAAGAGCCATGCCGCCCGCACCCATTGTCCGCCTACAAGGTTTCTGAGAAGGAGCCCAGTTTTGGCACCATTCAACTGACTTCCTCAAAATAACACGCACCAGGCTCGCTTTCAGGGACCAATAACTATCCGTCACCCTATGCTTGTCAAGGGCACCCCTTTTCGGGCCTCCCGATCCCAGGGCCAATCGCATTTAGCGCCTACGAACGTGAAAACACAAATGGTGGTGTTCTTTTCGGGCAGGGTTTCCTTTTGGTCGCCCTTTGAAACCACAAAAAAAAAGGTACCATCAAAAACCGCACCCCCAAATCACGTTCCGCAAATGGAAGCCGCACCTTTCTCGCAAGCGCTGATGGTGGCGTTGACGCTTGTACCATCTGCGTTCACTTGCGATTCGCGCATGGCCTGGAAAAGGGCAATTGCTTGTCGCCATTGACCGCCTTTCTCGCAGGCACTGATGCTGGCATTGAAACTGATCTCATCTGCTTTCACCTTCTCAGCTGACATTTCCTGAAAAAGTGCCACTGCATGTTGCCATTGCCCAGCTTTCTCGCAAGCGCTGATAGCGGTGTTAAACCCGATGTTGTTCGCACAAAGTTTTGCTTCAGGCATGGCCCTGAACACGGCTAGCGCTGCTTGCCATTGCCCACCTTTTTCACATGCTGCAATTGCGGCATTGAAGCTATACAGATCTGCCTGCACACTTGCAGCAAACATCTCCTGGAAAAGTGCCAATGCCTCATGCCACTGCCCAGCTTTGGCGCAGGCGCTAATTGTCGCACAAAAGCTGTAGGTGTTGGCTTGAACCTGTGCCTCCGACAGGGCCCTGAACATGGCCCATGCATGCTGCCAACGCCCAGCTTTCTCGCAAGCGCTGATGGAGGCGCTGAAGCTGTAAACATCTGCTTGCATCTTTGCCTGGGCGGGTGTCAAATAGAAATAGCGTATCCAGCCCCTTCTGGTTTCCTTTTGGAACAAACATGGGCAATTTGGCACTCTGTTGCCTCTGGCATTGCCTGGAAGAGTGCCAATGCTTGTCGCCAGCGCCCGCCTTTCTCGCAAGCACTGATGGTCGCATTGAAGCCTCACAGCCCATAGGAACTGGAAATCGCAGGCCAACCATCTGGAGGCCGGACTTAAAATCACACTTCAGAAATCCACCAGTTCCATCAGGTTGCGGCAAGCCAGGGGTTGTAGCAAATACATGGGTCCAGAGGCGATGTGTCACTCCAACGTGACATGGAACCACAAATATGGGCCCCTGTAAAATGTGTCCTCTAAGAGGAATGATTTCTTTTGGGGTTCGGTTCCATGTTAAGTTGCTTAAAACCTCACCCCACGGTCAGATCCGGTCGGTTTGCTTCAAAGAAGCTGATTGCATCTGCTTCCACCTTGGCCTCGGCCATGGCGGAAAAGAGCCCCAGCGCCTCTTGCCATCGTCCAGCTTTCTCACAGGCGCTGATGGCAGCGCTGAAGCTGAAGATATTGGCTTGCACCCTTCGGGTGGCACAATACCCGCATATGAGCTCGCCACAAACGAGGCCGAATATACTACACACAAATTCATATGGAACCAAAAAAAGCCCCCAAAAGGAGATTGCTCTACAAAGGGTGGTTTCTGGGCTCCATGTTGACCTGGGAAGTATCCATGTAAACTCCAAAATGGTGGTTGGTTTCTTAGATGCTCTCTTTGAACCTCCGCCAAACGGAGAAAATGTGGCCAACACACTGATGGACGAAATCGCACCTAGGAAACCATAAGTTGAAACTGTGGTTTGTTGAAAGTTTACGTTGGAGAATCGAATCCTTCCGTTGGGTTTCGTTGGTGCTCAAGACAATAAATTCCCTTGTCCATGGGGGAAGGCCTACCCATTTCGAACGGCCCAAAGGTGACCGTGCCTAAGAGCATTTCTTGGTTGACGTTGGAAGGGGAGCAAAAATCTAAGTTTTAGCAGTTAAAGAGGATTTCACACTAAACCACAATAAGCAAAAATGCAAAAACAAAAAACAGTTTCCCAACAACAACCAAGATTTCGCCAAAAACCCGCAGGGACGCCCCCGCCTGGCGGCGGGCATGGCCGCCAGCAAAGCGCTGGCCTCCTGCCAGGCACGCAGCCGGGAACACGTGGACAACGCCGCGGTGAAGTCTTTGGCATCCAGTCCTCGCGTGCCAGAACCAACTGCCAGCTCCTTTTCGGAATGTGTTTTGTGTTCAAAGGAAAGCCAAAAGGACAACTGCCGTTTGTGGGGGTCGCCCTGAAACCTGCCGTTTTTGGGGGGCGCCCTGAAAAGGTGCCACCTTTTGGATTCAAAGATGGAACATGGAAACACATCCCGGTCCTGCGACCCGACAGGTGCTACTAAGCGCTTGGACCCAACACAAAAACCGTTCAGAGGGTGCTAAGCAACCGGGACATGGGGAAACCAAGGCAGTAGGCGAAAAAGCTAGGCTGCCGCGAGTCGCACCCCATTCTCCACAAGCACCTGCAGCGTCTTCAGCACCAAGTCTGCTCCTCAGAGTGGATTTTTTGCGAAAGAAAGGGCGCGACTTGTCAGAACGGGGTGACCTACCGGGGCAACCCCGGGCCCTCACTGGGCTGGGGAAATCTACGGGGGTAACCTACTGGGAAGAGTTGATACTGTGGATGGAAGAAATCCTGAACCACCTAAGAACCCCTGTAAATACCAACAAACAATGGCTTCAACCATGGTTTCAAACTGGTGCGAAGTGGATTTCGTCCATCCACGGAGTTGAAGGACACCCCTTCAACACGCGGCACTGCCCCGACTGCGCAGCTGAGGCTCGCCTCTCCTCTGCGAGCGTGATCAACACGCGTCGTGGCACCACCCGCCGGGGGGTCAACACCTCCCGCACCGCCGGAAGCGAGGACGCGCTGCTCAAGTTGCACAGCGCCAGCCCAAGGTCAAGAGGAAACATCCTTACCCCAGCGCACCTCATAAAAGATTGTTCTGGGAACTGTGCTTAAAAACATGCCATTCTGAATGCGTCGGGCAAAGGCACTTCGCATCTCTGGCAGCGCGCGTGCGGCGCGTCGCCGGCGGCGAAACCCCCGGCGGCGGCTTCGGACCGCGCGCAATCGCCGCAGGCTGGGCCATTGCCCAAAGGACAAGGAAGCTATTGTGGGGTTGTTTTCCTGTTGAGGGTATCACCTTGCTCGCTGATTTGCAAGGGAACATTCTGATTTGTTGGGCCCCCTAAAAGACACACCCATATGCGCACCCCGTACATTCACTTTGAGTTGGGCTATGATCTAAATCGACAAGTAAGAATATAGAGCAGCCTGAAGGACTCGAATCAAAGGTTAACCTTCTGGGTTGCCATGCCCAACAAATACGCAACTCAACCACACAATTCAAACAGACCACAAGCTCGCCGATGCTCGAAGCCCAGTAACTTCTGGTCAGCTCCGAAAACCAAGACCTACATGAGGTGAGCATCTTGCGTGCCTATCCGCGCCTATGGTCTCTGAATCGGTCCCAGAAAGATGGTTCACCAACTCAGCAAGTACGCAAAGGTAGAAGCAGCGAAGCCACCGAACCAGTGGCACATGTTGGCAAGTCCCCCATGGCACGAAAGCAATCCTGGAGCTATTTATCATTTGGCTTGACTTTGAGGGCGCCTTCGTCTGTTGCCACACGGCCAAGCCCAGAAATCCGTGGCCAAAACTCGTCACGTGCTTCACAGGTGGGCCGCTCGGGTGATGTGCGTGTTACCTTTTCTTTCTCCGCCGAATGGCATGTGGCGTTCTCAGGAATTCGGCTGATCTCAATCTCGCCTGGCTCCAAAGATGGGCGCGGGCCCAAACGCCTGCCCCAACAACATAGGATGGAACTCCAAAAAGCCAGTTCCGTGACCCTGAACGCCTGAGGTTGCGTTGGTTCCGAACCAATACAAACGCAAATGGGTTCCGGAAAAAAGAAGAAAAACAACTCCTACCAGCCCAAGAGCACCTCCTCCCGAAGAAAGTGCCAAACTGTGCAAAGGCAACAAGGGGATGGGTCCCACTTCTGTGATATCTGGGAAGCTATACCTCTTGTGAATACTTTTCATTTGCGAAGTGGCTGAGTGAATCACAGCGGATTCCCTGTCCGCCTGTGTGCAACTGGACTGCCAGCTCCAGGGTTCCTTGGCGAGAGGCGAGCTCCGGAACTCCAGCAAACAAGAAGTCAACGCCTTGACAGGACCCACTCAAGGATGCTGGGCGAAGCGGGAAGAGACCAAACAAAGCAGGGTTACATAGCAATGGCTAGTGGAAAAGCAACACTCATATCTAGCTTTGCTTCTCCCAAATATCTGCAAATTGTTTATTTCATACGAGCGTGTGTTTGCGTGTACTTCTTAATGAGGGATCCTCTTTGGGGATGCTGAAAAGCGAGACTAAAAGGGAACTGCCCATTTGAGAGGTTGCCCCACGAGGCAAGCCCACATGAAGCTTTGACCGCGACACGGTGGAAATGGATCCCCCCCCGATTCCCCGAAACAAAACCGTACACTAAGGCCTCATTGAGGCACAGGAGTCACTGGATTTCCCCTTCAGAGGTTGCAATTTACTGGTGGCGTCCATAGAAACTGCCCTTTGGAAGGTTCCAAAAAGGGAAATGGAGGGGAGGGGGTCAGCATTCGCCATGTTTCGTCCTACATTTCACCCGCGCCCTCTGGACAACAGATCGCCCAGCGACGGACCATCCAGGACCTTCGGCGCGGCAGAAGCAGCGCCTTTGGGCGCAAGGCCTGCAGCAGGCTGCCGAAGGCCTGCAGGCGGATACTGTGGATGGTTGCGAAATCCTCGGCACCACCGTTCAGAAGCCCTTGGATGGTCTGATCCCCAACGAAAAACATCAACAAACGCTAGGGTTTCCCATAGTGTCTTGGCTGCTGCGAAATGGATTTTGTCCATCCAGCCCGCCCCCCGGTGCGGGAGGGTGGACTGGGGTGGCGCTTGCCTCCAAAGCTTCTGCAGCCAGAAAGGCGCGCGTGCCTGGCATCCCCAGGCCAACGCCTGGGCTACAGGCAAAGCCCACGTGTTAAGCAGTAGGATCCCCGTTAGAGGTTCCAAACAGGGTTGGACCCCCCCCCCATTTTATCAGATAAAATAGGGTCAGTCCAACCTTGTTGGAAAATAGAATGAAATAGTCCAACACTGACAGCAAATAAAATGAACAATCACGATTTATTTTGCCTCATGTTGGGGGTTGGTTTGAACAGTCCGAGTTGGACAGAACGTATTTTACTTTATTTCCTATGAAAATAAAGTCGAGGGGAGTCCAACTCATGTTTATTTTGCGCATCCGCTTTTTTCACAAAATAAAGTCGGGGGGTCAACTCGGAAGGTACTCATGTAGTTGCCGCAGTCCAACATTTCCCAGGCCTTGAATGGACTTGAAAAAACGGCATTTCCTGGGGAAGTCACAGATTACCTCATGTTAATTTGAAATAAGTTCAGTCCAACTTTGAAGGGTTTTTCACAGAGGCCAAAATGATTTCACAGAAAAAAACACGGGGTTGGACTAAAAAAATATAGATGACTTATTTTAGGGTCCGACCCACCCCTACTTTATTTTGAGCCTGCTTCAGGGCTCTCAGTAGGGGTGCAGATCGAATAGGACTCTGTCGTGTTTCTTGGGGAGCCTCCCAAGCCTGCCAACTCAACGCGGAATAATACCTGTTAACGCCAGAATGTCACAAGATGACATGCTTCACCTCTCTGTCCCTCCGCCGCATGAACAACAAAACAAGGGCAAGGTGGCAAGGCCTGATTAAAAACACTGGTTCAAACTTTTGTTAGGGGCAAATCCAAAAGCATAACACGAGTAACAATGTAACAATACCTTACTTTGCCTCGCACAAGGCCCTACCAATTTCAGCCAAACTGCGCAGTTAATAAGGATTCCGCACAGGAACAAACTCAAATCTGAATGTCGTGCTCCTTTGGCCGGGATAAGGAGTCAATTGGACAAAACCTGGATAGACTCTGAGAGGTATGATTTGACCCGTCAAAACGTGCGTTCCTGAAGATTGACAAATGTGAGAAAATCAAGCACAGGCTACTGCATGCATGGTTGCTCCACCCTGGCACATCCTGGCAGCTTGGAAGATGTTTGGTTACCAAAGATAAAGGGAAGCTATCGGCAACGAAACTAACTTCCCAATTAATTTCCCGCCCTTGTCTGGCGTCATCTTTCAAACTTGCTCGGAGCACCCCTGGCATATGTTGGCCGACCTCAACAAAGTTGACCCAACTCTTGAGAACACCATCAAATAAGCCTGTCGGATCCTGCTTCACCTTGCCGGTGCTCCGTAAAAAATGAAGGGATTGAACCCGGGGATTTGCTTAGACAGAAAGCCACCAGCGGGATGGCACCAGGTCACAACCAGCCACATCCGAGGCGCGCAGGTTCAGCGAGCTCACTCCGGCGAAGCCCATCTCCGCACACACCTCGGGGCCCAGGGGCCAGGGCGTCAAAACTGCCACCCGAAGGATTTACCGGCCCAAAGGCTAGGTTGTGTAAGCCTGAAAACCCCCCCCCCAAAAAAAAAAGCAAAGGGGCGATTCTACGCATCCGAAAGCGAAAACAAGGCCTGCCAACTGCATTGAAAAAACACATAGAGGCCTGAGCGGTTGGGACGAGTCTTTCAGAGGGGGTGGTAGGGCCATGGATGGGGGCAACTGCTTGCCACCAAATCTGTGATACCTTGAATGGTTGATCCACAAGTACATGGCTATGCCGGATGCAGGTTGAATTTCCGAAAGGGTCACGTTTTTGGTGGGTCACGTTTTTCGTGTGGCCATGGCTCCTCCTACTGCAATGGGGAACTTTGGTTGTGAGGGAGCTTCTCCCGCTCATGGCAACTCCTGTCCACCAACATGGAACCAAACGTTCGGGGGTCCTGTACGACCCGGTTTGATTGAAATGGACCCTATGCTGACTTCCCTGAGTGGATGGGCCCAACAAGTCCAAACTTTATCCTTACCACCAAAATGGTCCAATCCGAGTGAGTCTGGTTCCATGTTGATCTGTCAACAGGGTAGTAAGGGACCTAACAAATTGGATTGCGGCCTGGCCTCCCCACACATCTCGTAGGGCGTAAAGCCTGGACACAGCGCCCGGCCGACCGCCTGGCGCGGGCTGCAAAGGGAAGGCCGGTGGTGTTTGCCAGTGAGGCAACTGATTTCTATCTGCCTTGCCTTCGAAGCCTTCGAAGCCTTCGAAAGTCGTTTTGAGAAAACTTGCCTTTTCCAGATGCATACTCAATTCAGCAAACTTGAGCAAGGGTTCGGCATGTTGTTTCCAAATCGCCTGCAAGTTGGGGGGGGTCAAGCAGGCTCCGGAGCGGCTGTGAAACTGGCCGGTACGGATGGAGAATGAAACTGTCAAGATGAAAGGAGCCACATCCTCCCTGGGCCAACTACATGATCTATGACCTTTGGTGTGGGTTTGGAATATTTTTTGATGGCCCTGGCAAATGATTGGAGCTAAACTAGCTCCACCTGTTAAAAAAAAAAAAAAAAAACTCTTGCGCGCATGGCCTCTCTGTAATTGATAGACGGCTAACTTGTGAGTCAATGCGTGCTAACCCGTTGCAACGGCCTGTGGATCAAAGGAGAGTTTGATTCTAGCCTATTTGTGATCTATTCGTTTTTGGGGAATATTGAAACAAGCTAATCTAATCTTGTTCTTGAAGCACAAGACGCTCCTTGTACCCCAATTCAAGAGAGAATATCTTCGTGCCTTTGAACAAAAACACGCCTTTCCCTCGCCCGGAACGAGACGGAAGTCAACTTAAGGCATCATTAGTCAAACTCAAATGATCCATTTACAGTCGAGAGGCTTGGATAGGCTGAGGATGGATTATGACTTCCGCCGTCTTGTCTTGGCCATCTCCCTTCCATTTCTGGACCTTCAGCCTCCCTCACTCACTATCTTCCCCATAGCCGGCTGTTCAATACCACAACCTCATTCACAAATAGATGCCAGGCTACGACAATCATACAGTTAATGGACAAAATTCTGCACCGGTTGGGTGGGTAAACCCCTCTAGATACTGCGATACCTCACCCAGCAATTGGTGCGAAGAAGATTTGCCCATCCACAGAAAGTCCAAAATGGCAATGGCTCCAGGGAAGACCGTGACCACGGCAGCAAGGTCAGGTTTGAGGATGACAACCTCCCCAAATCCCAGCCTCCCATTGTTTCCTCCAAGTAAGGCCTCACCTTACGGTCGTATTAGCAAATGATTTTGGGAAGCATGGGCAGGGGGCTTGGGTTTAGGGGAACGGGGAGAGGGTGCAATCCATGTGTTAAACAAGCATGTCCAAAAGCTGCGGACCACAGGTGCTCCTGCCCCTTCACCAATCTCTTTAGGCAAGTCTCGGGCTGCATCTTGGCACGTGTCCTTTTTGCAGAAAGCCGTACTTCCGTTGTATTTTGCCGGGGGGGGAGGGGGGAGTATTTGGGGGATGGGTGGGTTAAACATCACGATTTCATATTGGGCCAACATCTAAGCCAACAGCGGCTGCGCCTCCATGTCTTGCAAACCTCGGCGGTCTTGCAGGCCTGCGGCAAGGCAGGGACAATGTATCAGCAGCCCCAATGCGTACGCATGTAAGGGTTCCTGTTTCGGCTTGTACTAAAGGACAGGCAAAGCGAAACAAACAACTAGTTTGATTGGGTGGCGTCCCCATCTTTTGCAGAGGGTCCAGAGTCGCGCGCCTGGATCAAAACTTGATAGGTACTACTTTGACCAGTCAACATGAATTACCCGCCTTGCCCAGTACCCCTGGAAGAAAACATGAAAGCTCCACGGTACACAGACAAGGGGGACTACGGGTGCTGAGGGACTGGGTTCCTTGCAATCCCCCCAACATCCATGAGTTGTTCTTTTGTTTCGCTTTCAAAGGTACGCCACTAAGACTTGCGCGTTGTCATCGCCTGAGAAGAGCAGCATGGTGCAGCCAGGTTGGGCTCCACAACGGTCCTGGCGACGTCACCCACCACCAAAGCAAAAACAAAGTGACAAATCGTGGGGTTGACTACACTTCAAGCTGGGACCTGCGCCTTGTTTTGACTGGCCTTGGCGCGACAGGCAGGACCTCCGCGTAGCTGGCCCACACACAGACAATTAGAGTTTGGCTCATCTCTGCCTGGCTCTGTCCATCTGGCATCCGCATCTGACTGGCTCTCTGACGCGGTCTGGTGCATCTGTCTCTGGCATCTGTCGTCTGTACCCTGCCTGCCTGGAGCAACTGGCTTTTGCTGACTTTCCAGCCGATTTAAAACCCCTTCAAACGGGGGAACAACACCGACAGGCGAAAAGGCCTGATTTCCTTCCAGTTTCTCCATAGAATAACGCAATAAACTGGGGAAGTTCAAACAACAAGCGCTCCCAACGTCGTGCAGCCGCTGTCCTCACAGCACAGGGTCTGGGCCTCTTGCGGGGTGTCCACATACGCCAAAGTGTCGATGGGACTGCGCCTGGCAGTAGATCCCATCCTCTTGTTAGAGACTTCGCAAAGCATTGTTCCCCCAAACAGTCCTTCTTGGGGAGGGACATAAAAAAGGAAACCGAAGAAAAACAGAGGAAATGGAAGCAAACACAAATGGATACAAAATAAAAGAAGCAATGATCAGCACTTATGCGGTTCCAAATCACCCGGGAATATATCTTATTATAGGTTTTGTTTGAAAGGGGGTCAGCAGCCAAAGGCCGACATACTTGGTGAAAAAAACAATCCAGGTAATCCAACAGTACGTTAAGCTCACCAAGTGGGAGTTAACAAGCTGCATCCCGTCATGGGCTGAAAGGCGCTGGAGTTTCAAAGATTTTATTTTAGCATGGGGTGCCCAATGACTCATGACCCCGGCAGAAACAAGGAATCCTTCTTGGGGGTGACCACTTTCAGGGAGCCTGGCCAAACAAAACAGTAAGAGGATGCGGCCCGGAACGACGCCTCATCACTGGACCTCTCCCCATCTGCGCGCGCACGAGGAAGGATCCTCGAGCCGGGAACACCCATTCTTGGCTGCAAGCTCGCTCACACACAGAACGCCCCTTTCTACTTACATACATGTATATATATATATATATGTGTGCATATAAGTAAATACAAATATATATATATATATACACGCATAGATGCACTTACATATGTATTGGGGGAGGGCGCTAAACAAACATGTGTATGTATATATATATATATATATATGTATATATATATGTATATATATATATGTATAAGTATATATAAATATATATATATATATATATATATATGTATGCATGTATGCATGCATGCATGCATGCATGCATGCATGCATGCATGCATGCATGCATGCATGTATGTATGTATGTATGTATGTATGTATGTATGTATGTATGTATGTATGTATGTATGTATGTATCATGACTTGTCATTTATGCACGTTTATAGAGGCGCAAAATGAGGGCACATGGGCAAATGTGGCTACCTGCCTCTATTAGTCCCATGGCTGCGGGGATGACTTCTCTTCACAACATCCACGTGTGCATTGCTGTGCACGTTGTTACAACGGCAAGGCAGTCTATAACATTTATATCGTTGTGGTTTTGCACGTTTGTCCACTTCAGTGCGCGTCATGCTTGGCTTTTGAGCATCTTGCAAATGGTGACGCCGGGGACTCTGCCCTTGAGAGAAAAAAAAGGAGAAGAAAAAAAAAACAAAACAAAAAAACAGAAACTTCGAGAGGCCTCGCAGCGTCACAATGCAGCCCATTCCCGCAGCCCTGTGAAGCCTCGCAGAAGTGCTGCTTGGCAAAAACTAAGATACAAAAACAGGCGCCCTGAAAAAGAAACATACGGTGCAGCTTGCAGCCAAGGACTCTGAAGGAAAATATGGGCGCCGTCAAGGTGGTCTGGTCAACCATGCCCAGGCGGTAGCGGCTGAAAGGGTGCTTGTCTCGGCGCCATCCAACCACCCGTGTTTCCAGTCCTCACGCATGCAAGTGTTGGGGATGTGATTTACATAAGGTAAAGAAGACAACGGAGAAGCACACCTCTCCAACATGGGGTAGATGCAACATAGCTCTTTGCAACATGTCATGACATAACCGGTCGGCAACAAAGGACAAAGATTCAATCCAAGAGCCAAAATATTCACGCCTGGGCAGGTGCCTCTAGGGCGAACGACTTGTTTATATGTTTGAGGTACCCAGGCGTGGGGGCAATGGCAGACCTTCATTCCAAATTTCCCCCCGCATGCCGCAGTTTCCTGGGTCAAACTTTCAGTCCTAGAATCTTCTTGACCATATAGCTCAGGTGCATATCCTCCCCAGTCAGGAAAGAAAAGGCTTTCTCCCGCAAGAAGGCGCCCGTGATCCAGTCAACCTCCTGAGGCAACAGGGTTGAAGCTCAGCACCGGCGGACGTTGCTGCAAATTGCTCAAATGCATGTCGTGTTTTGAGGTGAATGACACACAGTTTGGAGGAAAACCAATCGAAAAGCGGAATGCAATTCTTAGGGTTCCCCACCTTGGGACCAGCTCAAACTTTGCGTGTGCGCGTGCTCTTGCAAAGAGAAATCCTGAAGAAAGCACATTCTTGGCAGGTCCCCCTATTGCAAGACCGAACCATGCGTGCCACCGTCACTATCAGCTGCACCCTTTCCATGGACCTTCGTGAATGAAAGAGTCCCTGGTTTCTGGGATTAGAGAGTGCCCCAATTTGACCATCTCCAAATCTGGAAACTTCGACCAAGCCTCATAGGCCGCGCGAGACAACCCCACTTAGAAGCAGTTTAAAGCGCCCTTGGATAAAACAAGGCGGAGGGCCACAAATATGTTCCTTTTGGTTTCAACCTCAACAAGGGTACCCTCAAACAAAACACCCACATGTTCTTTTAGGACATGTGCCCCGCATGGTCTTCGATGCTGCCCATTGGCCTTTCGGGCGATGCTTCTGAGCATCGAGAAACCATGCGGCGTTGGCATAGTCCACAACCGTGGGCTTCTTTGGGCGGTCGATCCACCTAGAGCCAATGACCCAAAGGCCCGAAGGCAGCCTGTGTCTTGAAGAAAAAGAAACAACCAACGGGCGTTCAACTACTGTATCCCCAGTTGCTTATTGACCATGGTACAAAAGAAAGCAGGCAGCCCCCAAAAACAAACACTTGTGGGGTTAACCAGTTTGTGAGCCGTGCTTTCTGGGCTGTGGTGGGGGGGGGGGGGGCTGGACTAAAATGACAAAACCTACCAGAAAGCGCCAAGCTTGCCAACTCAACAGGCGAGACCAAGCAAGCCGGGAAAACGTCCCTTGAAACAGATCCCAGAAAAAAAGGAAACCAAAAAAAACAAAAACAAAACAAATGCAAGTCGACATGACATGCCCACGTCTAATGCTTGTTCCTTTGTTGAAGGAAGCCCGCCATGGACAAAGGCAAAACAATTGTTTCCGGCCAAAATCCGAGGGGGAAAAAACAAGGGGCGACTACTAGTGCAGAGAATTTATCTGTGCACCAGAACACACTCCAACAACTCAGGGAAGCTGACAGGAGGGTTTTGGAAGACGATTTTTCCTTGTGAAGAGCCCTCTGTTCACTGCCATGATTGGAAAGAGGGTAGTCACAAATGGGATAAACATAGAAACTAGCTTGTCACAGTGGTATGTGTGAACGAACTCCATTTCGCACCACTTGGGATGGATAAAACCTACAGGATAAACCGTCAATCACAACTGGTGCGATTCGATTTTGTCCATCCACTCACCAAAGACAAGTATCGCAGCCCGACAACTACCCATTGAGTGTAAAGACACTGCTCACACTTTGAGACGGTCTACGCCGCGCACGACATGTTGGTTGGGATTAATAGCCACAAGCTAAACGCTTATGCCAAACAAGTTGGGGGGTTCGGAACAATTTACTTATCCAGTGGGTTGAATGTCCAAATAAGCACAGGCGTTAGCAATTGCCCTGCTTCTTCTGAATACGAGTGGTACAAGGCGAACTCTTCCATGTTTAAGGGGCTTTCCCTCTCTGCCCGCGTGGATTGGCGAAACAAATGTACTTCAATTGTTTGTTGACCACTAAACCTAGGTCCTCCAGCAGAGAGGTTAGAATAAGGGTACCCTTTTTTCTGTAGTCTATTTTAGCAGGGGAACCCTCCCCCAAAAAAGAAACGGTAAAAGGGCACTACTGGGGGACCTAGAAAACGATCTTCCAAAACTGAAAAAGCGAGCTCCCACACCCCTCAGCCACCCCGGCCTCGCCGAGTCGGGCTTGGTGCTGCGCACGTGGCCTGCATGGCCCCAAACTCCTGGCCCAGCGTCGCGCTCGAAAACGGGAGGAGCTCTTGTTGGTTTCCCTTGAAACCGGACACCCAACAAGGGGTATCCTAGAGCTAGAGCGCACACCCAAAAGGGTTGAGCCAAAGGAGTAGTCCAAAGACTCTATGTGGCCTTGTCGCAAGGGCAAATAAGTGCCAAAGGCGGCACCAAAGCCCAGGTGTTAACCTGCTGCAATCCGTCAAAGAACAAGGTTGTACTTACCAGAGTCCGATTTCGACAGTTAAAGAATCTACACACACCCTTGGCTACCTTAATACATTTGTGCTCGTCAGGAATCAGGAATAGGTAGGCACAGATTCACCATTTAGTGTCACATGGGCGTTCCCACTGGGCTCTCTGTGGGTCATGCTCACGACTCCCACTGGAACCTTTGCATTGCTAACGTCTTCGGCACATGGAAGGACACCAATTATCGGGGACCACGGTGAGAGAGAAGTTAGCACCCACCCCCCCACCTCACCCCACTCCCCACTCACCCACCCACCCAACCCACCCACCCCGCCCACCCAAGAAAAAGAAAACACATAGTGGAGGAATCGGTCTCTGGTCCTGGCTGCTTCTGCATGTGCCGCAAGTATTGGTCCACCGCGGTCACGGGAAAGGCCACGTCATCATCCACCACATAGACATACCTTGGCTTCCAAACACCCCTCCATTGGCATAGAACTTGACTGGAAGTGCCAATGAAAATCAGTGGGGCCAATGAAAACAAGTGCGTATGGGAGATTCAAACACTGCCAAGCGATTCACAAACTGAAGCCAGTGGATTCCCATCCTTTCTTTCCAGCCAAACCGAAGCAAATGCCGTCAACTGGGTGTCTTGCAGTGGCTCCAAAGCCAACTCTCTCGCTGGTGGAAGCAGTTGTGGGCAAGGTGTTGCTAGAATGGGGACCACGCAAATGGAACTGCCAAAGATATTTGAAGGCACTATTTCCCCCAGACGTTGGCGACGAACTAGGCTGGGGCTTGTTCAGAATGCTGGCAAAAATGAAAGAGTGCTTGGAAGGGACCTGCATATCCAAAGGCTCAATCACTACCCACGCGCCCAGTATACCACACCTATTGATTAGTAAACTGCGTGTTGGGTACATAAATGCGAATGCTCTAGCCATGTGGTTTGGCCTGTTTGAGGTTCCGAGCAACCCTGGCCACTTCTCGAGAAAGTAATAGGTTCCCGATATTTCCCCTGAAGGCATTGCGGAAACTCACGTTGAAATCCACCGCAAGGGGAAATAACGTGTATATACCTATATAGATTTCTTCTTGTTGAGCGTCTTGCTTTGTGCGGCTTCAAAGGGAGACGAAAAGGAACATCGCCATGAGGCAACCAACACACACATAAGCAAAACCTGGACCCAGAACCATGCAAAGAGTTCCCAAGGCGCCCGCGCCTATTTATGGTTAGGATTCTCCTTTTGGGAACAAACTGGCACTCTTCTTTGTTGGTTGAGTTTAAGGCAACAGAGTATCCCTTCCGAACCTGCATTTCCCCGGGTGTTTAGGACGTGCATGCACAAAATCCTGCACCACCTAGGAAAGCTTAGAATGACAATTCCCCTGTAAATACCAACCAGCGTTCTGAAGGGTTCCGATTCTTTAAGCTCCACCAACAAGAAATTAAGGGTGCCCTTTTTCTCATTTTCCATGGCCACGGGGCATAGCAACAGCGTTCTGGTTTCCCATGGTTTCGCATTTCGTGGTCCGACGATTTCGGAACCATCCACAGTACTGTGGATAGACAAACTCCTGCACCACCCAAGAAACCCCGAATTAATCCCCCTATAAATGCCAATGAACAATGGTTTCCAATGGTTTCAAAGTGGTGTAGGATTTCGGAACAGTAGGACCGCTTGAGCCGGACACAGCGGCTTCGTCTTCGCGAAGGCCGCCAGGAAGAAGCGGCCGTAGACCCCGAAGTCCACCTGACGGATCGTCGCGATCGGCCGGAGATCGGCTGCCCCCCCCCAAACCAACGAGGACACGTTTGAGGGCTGAAAACAAAACAGAGATACCACGTACAGGGGCAAACATCCTGGTAGATACCACAGAGACAAACATCCTGGCAGATTCCACGGGGCAAAAATCCAGGCAAGAAAACCTTAGGCCTTCAGGAAGGCCATACTCATAAGGCGGGACCTGTTGCGCAAGCCCACTATGGTTTCGTAAGTTCTGACGCGTAAGCACGTAGACCGTAGATCTTCAAATCACCCGAGCAAGGCTCCAAGAAGGCTGTAACCTGGATTGAACATCCAAGAAAGTAGCGGAAAGGTTGATTACCATGGGATCCCAATCCACAATCCAGAGGGAAGCCACAAAGAAGGCAACATTCCGATCTGTCCATTGGATTGCCCTTCAACAGCCCAAACCCCATCCCTTCGCACTTGACGGACAGCGCAAAACAAGACACATCTACAGCAGGCTCTTTATTGGGGAACACAGTTTGCATACAGCCAAGAAGCTTGATCCCCTTCCTCTTGCGCAAGTTTGGCGTACCATGGGGATGCAAAGCCAATTTAGCGCCAGATCCACCGTCAAATCCTCGCCTCGCTCCGGATGAGCTTCACCTTCGCTTCGGTGCCTTCTGACCGGAAGTCCTCCACCACAGCCTGCGAGAGAAGAGTTGGTGGGGTGAGCGGTGGTCGGTTAGTTTGGTGCAGCGGGGCAATCAGCATGGAATCCTGGAAAAAGAAGCCAGGTCGTGTCAGCTGCTGGTTTTCGCAAAGATACCTGTTGCCTGTCGATTTCTGTGAGGGAAGCCACAACAAACACCACTTACGGTAGGCCAGCTCCGCTCCTGCTCCAAAGCAGCCGAGTCATAATCCTGCAGAATCCCTGAGGAGGGCCAAATAGCATGGGACATGACCGAAGGTTCCTGGCAAACTTAACATTCATTCAGAGCCGAAGGATGTGACAAGGAGGGCCATGGAAAGGTCATGACCCTTAGTGGTCTTTATGGTCCTCTTAGTCACCAGTCGCTAATCGTCACCAGGTTGCAATGGCTCGCCTTGATATGGCCAAATCAGTGCATGATTAAAGGGACGTGAGTTCTTCTTGCAAAGGAGGGACATGTATTGGAACGGCCCCTTTGATGGGGCCACCCCCTCACTTACCCCAGCTTGCCCTATTGCGCTTTTAAACGCAACTCCCAAGAAGAAGTCATGATACAAGGCAACAGCTGCGGTTTGAAACCACCCAGAAGAAATATGGCTATGACCAAGTCCTCCCGGTGGTTGGCTTCCTCTTGCTTTCCTTTCAAACCCATCCAAAGACGGTGCCAGAAAAAGAGGAACACGCACAGAACCAAAGCGGGTGGAGTGGATGGCCCCAAGCAAGTCGAAACTTTTGGTTTCCCACCAACATGATCTTCCCCACACCCCCCCCACACCCCCCTCAAAAAAAAACCACGCACACCCCCCCAAAAAAAACAACAATAAGTTCCGAAACTCAGGTGGAAAGTAAAGGGCCCGTCGGCCGCACCCGCTGCCCCCCGAAGCTCCAGACCGCGATCGATATCCGAATCGAGTTCGGATCGCCTGGTACTCCTCCGCTTGGGAGGAACCGAAAAGGCAAACCCAGACTTCCAGCACTGCGGCGGAGGCGGTGGAAGCTCTCCTCGGAGGAGCGGCCAAGCGGCCGAGGGTCGTTTGCACCCCCAAACCAATACCACCCCGACCCCTACTGGTTGTTCCAAACTAAGAACCCACAATAAGGAATTGAAACCAGGGGAAGCGCTGAGGAGAGTGCTGCATCCCATCATTGATCTGGGGGTTGATTTCCTTGGCTACCACAAATTGTGGAGATCTAGACAAATCGGCCAAAACAAATAGCGGCCTTGGTCGAACCTCATTTAGCTTGGGAGGTGTGTTATTTTGCGCTTTGTAGAAGCTACCACTGGACTTTCGTATTTTGAAGCACCCACCTTTTGGGGCCAATGAACAAGCTTCCTTCCCGCGGTCAGCCATGTCGACCGGGAAAACGAGGTCACTGTCAACTGGGAGCATTGACAACTATAAGCTGAATTCACCGGTTGCCCAGCGGCCCTGGTAAAGAAAGGGAATCCTTTTGGGGCTCACCTTTGCAAGTGTGACACCCACAAAACAACAAGGGGACGCAAAGGTGCCAGTGATTTTTCCGAACAACCGGCCACCGCTCTACCCCTCCAAAAGAAAAGGAGCCAAGATTCAGCTGCCCTTGGAGATTGGCTGCCGGGCGCTGCCAGTGATTCAACACCACCGTTACCTCCCCAAGGCCGCGCAGGATGCCGCTTCACCGCGAAGGCGTGCGGCTCGGCAACCGGGCGTCCCCAAACAAAATTTCCAGTTTCGAAGGACGGATTTCCTCATCCCGCACCCTCCGATCGTCAACTGGGAGGTAAGAAAACCACAGAGGAAGTCTGGTTGGAACAGATTGGAACCTATGTTTGTGCAAAACAACTAGGTTCTCCAGTAGGAAGGTTAGAATAAGGGTACCCTTTTCTCTGTAGTCTATTTGAGTAGGGAAGCCCTCCCCCAAAACAGGGGAGAGAAGGGCACTGCTCAAAAACCTAGATGCCCACTTCGAGGGCTTCCCTCGGCTTGCGCCTTGGACACCGGCGACAGCTCCGGGCGCTGCGACACGCGAGAGCCCTGGCAAGGAGGCTCCGAAGGCGGGGGCGGGGGGCGGGTCACCGTGGAAGGCTCGAATCGGTTTGAGTGGAAGCCAAGGAATCCAATCGGTTTGGGGCGAACAAAATTGCCGCGCATCGCTTCGATGCTGTGAGCCGATGGACTTGTTTTTTTTGATTCCTGGTGAGGACCGAGAAGTGAAATTAAAAGGTTGGTCTTCCGGGGCCTTGATTCAAAGGTCCGACCTTCAAAAGAAGAAAACAAGAGGCCCTGGATAGAAACGGGTTGCGGTTACGTTGTGGAGCCAAACCACAACAGCCGGTTCCCCTTGGCCAACTGAGTTCAGCCGGCAAACTGAAGGGGCCCTCATAATGTACGATCTCTACGCCAATGTGAACTCAGCTTCTCTCTCTCCTGGTGATGCTCAAAGGGACACAAACGGCAGCGTCTGTTTGGAGGCACCCTGATTGGGTTGGTTTCGTTTTGGGTCCACCACTTTGAGACACCGTTGTGGCCTGAGGGGGTTTATTAGGCACGCCGTCGGGCCGTGGGCTTTGGGTTTCATGAGTTCAGCCCATCTGGAATCTAGGGAAATTACTTGAATTTCAGCTTCCCCCTTGCTTAGTGGTTTGGAGACAAATTTGCGGCTGCTTTCAAGTTCATTACAAGAAACAGGGGTCCAAGCCAGCAAGAGAGGGTGAAAAATGATGATTCACAAACGCGAAATCCAGCACTCTCCAAGGGTGGTCCATTTCTACCCAAAATGGCGCACACAAGAGCCATCTTAGGAACAAATGGACCACCCTTGGAGGTGCAACTCGCAAACCAAGAGGAAGCCCCTAGCCGGGGGATCTCCATCTGGAACGATTGTTTCACCCCAGCTCGAAATATACAGAGTTCTCCTAAAGGATTTGTGAACTGGCCCACCTGGCAGCTGGAAAATCAGGGACCAACTCCTCCGCTTAGTTCACTTCCCTTTTTGTAAAATCGTTCAAACACATGGTCTTCATTTGTTAAGACAAACTGAAGGGAGACTGTCGCACCAAATTCCTATAGCTCGCAATGCGGAAAATAAGGGAGCACCCCAAGTACAGAACCGATGGAGGTCATCTGATCCCAAAAAATCTGGGGAGCTCGTTTTGCCGAATGCCCAGCCTGCAGGCAGTGTCCACCTTCTTCATGGCAGCTCTCGATGAGGCCCTGCTCCGCTGTGACGGCTTCGGCCGCCTCCAGGGAGTTGGGAGTTGCCTGTGGGATTTGGATGGCGCTGGGGCCCCAAGGTTTGGGATTTGTCCATGGAATGCCTGCGATTTGTTGCTTAACTATATATATATGTTGATCCAATCGACCGCCGCAGGCACATTCATGGCCAAGTGGGAAAATAGCGTGCTCAGGGTAGTGCGCACGGGCTGCCAACATTGGTAGCGGAGCGGTAAGACACCGCTCACCGGCGCTGCAGGGTCAGTGCCTCGCGACCGCCATGTCGGAACCTGGCGCCTCGCTGAGATACTTCAGCGGGGAAGACTGCGACTACAGAGAGTATAGGAGATGGAGACAATGGTGCGTGAATCGCATGATGGTCATGGACAAATTGCCCAAGAATGCTCGCGGGAGTTTTGTCTGGACACTTCTTCAAGGCCGCGCCTTGGAGGTGGTGGAGCACCTAAAGGAAGAGGAATATCAGAAAGAAGGTGGCGATGCTGTCATCTTTGCACTTCTGGATAGTCGGTGGCCCGCCAAGGATCGCACAGACGAGATCGGCGAGAATATCTCGGAGGTGTTCACACTGAAGGCTCGGGAGGGCGAGTCTGTTCGTTTGTGGTGTGCACGGGCCAGGGAGTGCTTTGACAGATGCAGCAGGAAGTCAGGAGTGGATTTTCCGTCAGAAGCCCGCGGCTGGATCCTTTTAAACTGCAGTGGTATGAACGAGGAGCAAAGAGCTGTGGTACTGGCTCGAGCTCAGGGAGTTCTGAAGTTTGATGATCTGGCTCAGTCGATGAGGTCCTGCTTCCCGGAGTTCACCGTTCCTAAGAAGCGACACACCGCTGTCTCTGCTGTTGATCCCCGTCGTCAACTGTCTGGTGATGAGGAGGATGAGGCTGTCTCAGGTGATGCCCAGCAGCTTGGTTTCGACGATGTCGAATTGTTTCTGGCCGAGCATGGAGAGGGCGTCCAACAGGCCGATTCTGAGATCTATGAGGAAACGGAGGTGGCTGAGGTTTTAGCAGCCACGTGGCGTGATCGCCGTCAAGAACTTGGAAAGCTGCAGAAGCAACGGCGTTTCCAGAAAGCCTCGGAGGTCAAGAGGTCTTTTCGGGTCGAGATCGAGGAGCTCAAGAAGAAAACACGCTGTCGCAAGTGTGGAGTTATCGGGCATTGGGCTAGGGAATGCCGGAAGTCGGGTGCAGGAGGTCATCCATCGGCTTCAGCATCTTCTGGTCCTGGAGACAAGGGAATCAGCCTGGTTGAGCATTTTGTGTGCATGGTCATAGCCTCGAGTGACACCAAGCACCTCAGCATGCTGGACAAATTGCGTCAGCGACGGATCCGGTGCAGCGAGGATGAGATCTTGTTGGTTTCGTCCCCTGGCTACGCAGTCTTGGATTCCGGCTGTGGCCGGACCATCATCGGCGCCGACACGTTGACAAAGTTCCGACAGCTGTGGAAACTGAACGGCCTTCCTCAGCCTGAAATTGAGTATGAGGAAAATGCATTCAAGTTCGGCAATGGACACCGGGAGGTGTCGTACCAGTGCGTCAGGATGCCCATCCAGTTAGCCGGTAAGACAGGGGCAGTCAGAGCGGCCGTGGTAAAGGGGGATGCACCCTTGTTGCTGTCCCGGCCGTCTCTCAAATCATTGGCAGCCACCATGGATTTCCAGAATGATGTACTACATCTTTTTGAGGATCGTATCCAGGTCCCCCTGAAGATAAATTCTGCCGGCCAATACGTGGTCAAAGTGACTGGCCATCCGGAGTCCGTGACCAATTCCTTCGGTTCGGCCAACGCCATGAGCCCCACCATGGAAATGCGCAACTCCAGTGAGATGCAGAGTGCCTCGGATGGGTCTAGTGCAAATCAATCCATGCCAGTAATCACACCGCCTGACACTGTGTTTGCACCCAGCCAGGATGAATCCCCACCTGAGGTGTGCACCAGCAATGACCGTAGGCCACATGAGAAAACGAAAAATTGCCTTTGTGCGCCTGCTCAGGAGACGACGCCGTGGACTTCCCGACAGCACCGAGTGCTGATGGCGCAGGTGAAGGAAGTCACTGCCAGGCCAGTTCACCGGCTGGGAGACAAACTCAATGTGATCGAAGTGTTCTCCCCACCACGGTTCGCCCTGGAAGCAGCCACCAAAGGACTCACTTGCTTATCTGCCGATTTAGTCACGGGGTGGGATTTTCGTAAGCCTAGCCATAGGGAGAATATCAAGCGCCTAGTGTCAGAGCATCCACCTGAACTCTTGGTTTTGTGTCCCCCGTGCACGTGGGCAGGAGGTTGGTTCCACCTTAATAAAATGCACATGTCCGAGGAGCAAGTTGAGTGTCGCCGTAGGTTGACCAAGTTGTTCGTAACACTGTGCTGCGAACTTGCCCAAATGCAACTCGATCGAGGAGGTCGTGTGTTGTTTGAGCATCCCCGAGGGTCGAGCGTTTGGCAATTCTCTTGCATGAACAAGCTTCGTGATCGCATGCATCAATTGGATCTGGATATGTGCTGCTACGGGATGCGGGTGCCAGGTGGACCGTTGATCAAGAAGGCTACTCGGCTGTGGGTGTCTCACCATAATATGCTGAAGCTAGTCAGACGCTGTCCTGGTGAACACCATCCTGACCACGCCAATCATCAAATCGTGGCAGGAACTCACCCCAAGATAGGACCAGTGAGCAAGTTTGCTGGCCAATATCCAGCTCCGTTCGTCAGACAAGTGATGCGTCTTGTGAAGGAGTTTCCCAGCACCCCTGTTCTTCGGGCAGTGTCTGACGAATCACGTGAGTGTCTGGCCGCCGCCAGAGTCCCGGCTATGAATCAGGAGGATGATGCACACCTGAAGCAAAGCATCCGAAAGTTGCACCTGAATCTGGGACATCCTACCGTGGGACAGCTGTGCCGAATCCTGAAGCATGGCGGAGCTAGCGATCGGGCCATCCGGCTAGCTCGGGAACACCAGTGTGATCAGTGCAAAGCATCCACACAGCCCACGCCAGCAAATCCAGCCAAAGCAGATCGTGTTACCACTTTCAATGCACGTGTTGGTTTGGACGTCAAGTACTTGACAGGGTGGAAAGTCAATCAGAAAGTGCCAGCCCTCAACATTGTAGACTACGCGAGTAGCTATCAGATGGTGATCCCTCTGTTTCAGAAAGAGAACTCCGAGCTCATCCGCAAAACCTTCTTGGAAAGATGGGTCTGCTGGGCTGGAATGCCAGAGGAAATCGTGGTAGATCCTTCCAAGCCCAACGTGGGCCAGGCTCTCACTGAGCCCCTGGAGCTCTCAGGAGCTACTGTGCATATCACCGCTGCCGATGCTCACTGGCAGCTAGGTAAGGTTGAAGTGCATGGCGGTTCCAGAAGGTCCTTTCCAAAGTAATTGTTGACCGGGTTCCCGCAAATCAGGAGCAGTGGCAAGAATGCGTAACAGCCGCACATTGCAAGAACGAGCTCATCCAAATGTATGGATTCACCCCTTCTCAGTATGTGTTCGGTAGGAATCCACGAATTGCAGAGCATTTGATGGATGAGCCTCTGGAAGTCATTCCAGCCACGGCACCGTTGTACGAGCAGTCAATAGCCCGTCAAGTGGCTACTCGGCATGCAGCCCGCCTCGCAGTGATGGAGCTGCAAGACAGCCGATCACTTCGGCTCGCGCTGGCTGCACGTCCTCGTGTAGTTCCGGACTTCACTCCAGGTACCTACGTAGCCTACTGGCGTAGTCAAAAGTGGAATCATGGTACCTTGGATCAGCAAGGCGCGTGGCATGGGCCCGCCATTGTGTTAGGTAAGGTCGGTAGGAACCTGGTGGTGATTCACAAACGTAGTATACTTCGGTGTGCGCCAGAGCAGCTCAGGCTCTCCACGTCGGATGAGACGAAGCTGGCTCGGACCCCTGAGGTAGAATTGCTTGGGATTAAGAATCTGATAGATCAAGATGCCTTGTCAACGAGACAGTACTTAGACTTGGTCCCCCAAGCCTATCCACCTCGGGCTCCCCTAGTAACTGAGAATTTGCCCAGTTCCGAATCAATCCCGGCCGAATCAGTGCCTGTAGGAGTGGGTCCGCAGTCTCCCATGGAGTTGGCCCGGTCCAGAGAAACAGCTCGGGAAGTTCCCTTGCCAGATGAAATTGCAGAGACTGGGGATGCGCCCATGCCATCCGTAGATGCGTCACGATCCTTGCAGGCCGAAGGCCAAGCTGAACCGGCCAAGATGAGCGAGTCAGCCCCATCCAGCTATGGGCCGATTCGCCGAGTGCATGGCAAGAGCGATCCGGAAGCGTTGCACCGTCCAAGGGCGATGGCCCCGGATGACTTTGCTGAACTGTTGAAGGAAGTCATCCCGAGCCTTGTAGAGCGAGCCGTCCGAGATGATCAGGTAATCGCCAACGAGCCGTCCAGTGGCTCCTCCGATAAGACTCCTGCGGAAAGAGGTTTTAAACGGTCTAGTAATGATGCTGAACTATTTGATCCCCTCAAAAAGCGTTATAAAGAGGAAGATGAAATACTGTCCGTGTCGTGGGAGCAAGGATGGAACCTGACCAGATCTCCGGCGGAAGTTCTGTCCGTGCAAGAACTGGCTCAGATTCAGTACCAGCCAGATCAGCTGTCAGCTTCCGAGTGTAGCAAATTGCTAGAGCAATATAACCAAGGTGCACCCATGGAAGTGTTGCTAGCCAACTACATCCAGAAGAAAGCGTCAAAGGAAATACCGGCTTCGGGAAACCCTCTGGAGCTGCAGCGAAAGATTGATGAGGCCAAACTCATCGAATGGAACGTAGTCACCGGTAAGAGTGCCGCACGTTTAGTCCTGGGTCCTGAGGCCGACGAGGTGCGTCAGAAGCATAGTCACCGAATCATGGGAAGTAGGTACGTTGTCACAGTCAAGCATGAAGACGACGCCCCGGCAAGGATCAAGGCCAGGTGGTGCCTGCAAGGCCATCTGGATCCTGACTTGTCAAGCAAGGCGCGAGCCGGCGACCTACAGAGCCCTACCCTGTCTCAGGTTAGCCGTGGTCTGTTGTTTCAATTGATCGCTAGCCACAAGTGGGATTTGGCCCTCGGAGACATCAAGGGAGCATTCTTGGCCGCAGGTGAGTTGCCACAGCAGTACAGGCCTTTGTATGCTCGTTTGCCCCCCGGAGGCATCCCCGGCATTCCTGACAACGCCCTCATTGAAGTCATAGGTCATGTTTATGGGCTTAACGATAGTCCCTCAGCTTGGTATAAGCGCTTGAATGAAGCCCTGTTGTCAGCGGGTTTTGAGAGAAGTCGCTTCGATAGCTGTCTGTACTTCATGAGGGAGGGTAATGTTCTGACGGGAGCATATGGAGTTCATGTAGACGATTGTGCAACCGGAGGATCAGGCCCTAAGTATGATCAGGCCCTGACTAAGCTTAGGACTGAGTTTGAATTCCGCAAGTGGCGAACTGGTCAAGGCGATTTCTGCGGTGCCCGATACACTCAGGACCCCGCCACTAAGGAAATTGTCATGGATCAAACAAAGTTTGCCCAGGAAAAACTCAGACCCCTTCGACTCAGCCGACAGAGAAGTGTGCAGAAATCCGACCAATTGACTCCCGCAGAGGTCAGCTGTCTTCGTGCCATCAATGGCGGTTTGAATTGGCTGGCCACACAGTCTAGACCTGATCTATCCGCACAGGTGTCCTTTTCTCAGCAGTCATTTCCCAGCCCAACCGTGGAAGATGCCCTGTTTGCTAACAATGCCATCAGGAGGGCACGACAGCATTCGGATCTCACCATTGTGTACAGGAGCATTCCCCCGGGTGAACTGGGAATCATGTGCCATTCCGATGCGGCATATGCCAATGCAAAAGCAGGTGCCACCCAGGCAGGTTACGTAGTCAGCTTCACGAATCAAAACATGGATCAAGGCGCTGACTGCCCGTGGACTCCTGCTTTCTGGAAGAGTTTTCGATTGCCAAGAGTGGTCAATAGCACCCTCAGTGCCGAAGCGCAAGCAATGTCTGTGGCGTCAAGCATGGCCGAATGGACCTTGCTTTTGCTGAATGAGGCGATGGATGGTCCTCAGTTTCCCCATACATTCTGGCAAGCCACCAGCCAGCGGTTGGTAATAGTGGTAACCGACTGTAAATCATTGTATGATCATATTCGGTCCCCTTCGTCACCTACCTTGGAGGATAAGAGAACATCCATAGACATCATAATTCTTCGGGATTCCCTCGGTCGCATGTGTGCTTCCCTTCGTTGGATCCCCACAGATCGCATGCTAGCCGATGCGATGACCAAGGAAAGTGCCGATGCCACCGACTTGTTGCGTGGGTGTATCCGTGCCGGCCGGTACCAGATCAGTCCGGAGGAGAAAGTCCTCACTTGGAGAGCACAGGAACGCGACCGACGGAAACAGGTCGCATTCACCCGAGCTGCATCTGCCAAAGCCTCATGTCGAGGCGACCTGTGATCTCAGTCATGAACATGTGTCAGTTTCACTTAGAGCAGCTGGTTTTGACACTTGCATTATGCCACAACCATTAGAGTAATGGGTACTCCATTCGCGTTAGCAGCATATGCCTCTTTTGGTGTTAAATACAGCTGATAACATTAATGCCGACTATGAGTAGTCCAGAAGTTCAGTTGTTAGCACTCTGCCTTGAAAAATGAATGCCTGCCGTGCAGTTGGTTTTTACAGCACTCAAATCAGTGATCTCAAGCATGTCCCGTGGTAACTCCAAGGTCACCATTCCCGGGTGGGAAGATGCTGCCCTGGTGGACACCTGGTCTGTTCAGGACCATGATGAGTGTGTCCGGCTCCTAGCCAAGGCACATCGAGCGGGCGCCGCCGACAGGGTGTGGCAGGATTCGATCAAGCTCCATCAGGCCACTGTGGGCACTGGTGGTGGAGCGATGACCGATGCCCCCAAGAGGCTCCGTGGACACAGCCCTGAGTTGCCTGACAATGCCCCGCCGGCTTCATCATACATGGCAACCCAGGCGATGCCTCCGCCTTTTCCAAGTGATATCCCGCACCAGGAGTTGGCCGGACTTCCGCCGGGTGTATCGTCACTGGAAATGTGGGGCAGTACACTGATCTCTTTTGGAAAGTATAAGGACAAGATGACCTATGTCGAACTCTTGACTGCATCCGATTCAGAGACAGTGAGCTATCGCCGTTGGGCCAAGGGACACTCAACTTCTGGGTCGGCCAAGCTCAAGGATATGGTTGCGTATCTCAGCATGGCCGGTGCATTTGGGCCCAGCAGTCAGTCTGTGATCCCTGGAACAGATTGTTCACGAACATTTAGATCTTAGAGATTGTTAGGAGTGTTGATCCAATCGACCGCCGCAGGCACATTCATGGCCAAGTGGGAAAATAGCGTGCTCAGGGTAGTGCGCACGGGCTGCCAACATATATATATGTTGTGTCGGGGGGTTGTCTATAGGCAGGGTCCCTTCTTTTTGGGGGGTCCGAGTTCTTCTTTGGGTTGCTTTGAGGGAAAGACCAAAACAAACCCCAAGCGCGAATTGGTGCCTTGGCCTGAGACCCACACCCATTTCAAGTGCGAATCGAAGCCAAACCTCGCACCTGTCCGCTCAGGAGCCGACAGAACCTCGGCTCAGTCCCGGCTAGTCGTGTGGGGTGACCAATTCAATTGGCATGAAGTGCACACCCGGATTTTTGAACCGCGAAAAGTCCGAGCAGGAAATGATAGTAACCTCGGACTAATCCGAAGGACCATCGAATCAAGGCTGGCTCCCCTTTAAAGTTAGGAAGAGATCTCTTTTAAGGGGATCCCTCTGACTAACAAGGTCCTGCAATTTGAGGCTAACATTCCAAGACTTCCCCACGTTACTTCTTCTAGCCCCCAAGCGTGGCGCTTGGAAACAGTGGAAGGGCACCTAGCTTCAAGAACTTGCTTCAGATCAGGCTGGGCAAGCGAAACTGAAGGAAACTGGGTCGATCCTCTTTTCCCGGCTCCGCAAACCCGTGCCGCCAAGACTCAGCAGCTTGAGCATGCATGGCGTGCCCCGCGTGCCCCGCGTGCCCCGCGAACATGCGCATCAGAATGCCAAATTGAGCGCATCCGAAAACATGCATGTTTGACTTCAGGAGGTGTCCCGGGGTGTCCCACTGTAAGAGGACATGATTCACATTTGGGGCGAAGCTCCCAGGACTTTTAGCAAGTATGGCCCCAGGACGAACTGTCTGGATGTTCAACCAGGTTGCGCCGGGCAGGCATGGTTACAAGAGAGCCAACCCCAGTTATCCTATACCAGGAGCCTCAAAAACCGATGAACATGTCATACCTACAAAAAACACGATGTTTTTTGGGAAAACACGATGTTTTCGGGAAACACCGCATTTTCGATTTCAAGCAGTTTCCCATACATTCCTTCAACTCGTCATCCGTTCTCAAAAGATCTCAAAAGCATCATCTCAACCTCAGAATCTCCCATCGCCCTCCCCTTTTGCACTCGCAACAAAATCCGCTTCGCATTCGCCACTCGTCTTTCGCAACTCCAACCTGAAAGAAGGAGGCCGGGGACCCAAATAGTCAAAAGTACCACGGTTTTATGACACTTGTCAAGCAGCAGTGCCATGATGAGGGCGTGCTGGCTTCGAACAGCGCGCAAGCTCAAGCAAAGACCGTGCTTTTGCTCACGACTTCGTTGTTTTCCAGCAACATTCTCGAATTAGCGCATTCGTGGTTGAACCCGAAAAACCCATAGAATTTCCACGCTTTGCCACGCTTTACTACGGGTTCTCCACGGTTTAGCTACGGGTTAGAAAACACGATGTTTTCCAAAAACACGATGTTTTCGGTTGGGGCTGCGGGCTTTCTACGGGTTTCTACGGGTTTTCTATGGGTTTCTACGGGTTTTCTGCGGGTTTTCTGCGGTTAGCCGCCAGGATCCCGCCCCATTTGCTAAAAAAAACTCAAAATTGATAAAAACAATCTCAAAAGTGTCACCTGGTCTTGTTTTGCACCAAAAGGAGCTTTCGGATTCCAGCACCCCCTTCAAACTGGTTCGGTATGACCTGGCGCCAGTCTTCAGGTGCCTGTTGCTGTGAAAGGTACTTCAAGACTGAAGCCAGCTGCACACCCTGGCTGTCAGGCTCATCAATGTGGTCCTTAGAATTTGAAGCATACTCAGTATAGAGCGTTGCCCTCAGTTGAAATCTTAATGGGTGATGTCTGTGTGAATCCACTCCCGACCCTTGCCTTTGACCCTTTGCTCCAAATGAGTGTTTGGCCTCAGAAGCCCATTTTTAAGGAGTTTTATCAAAAACACGATGTTTTTCCTGAAAACACGATGTTTTCAGAAAATCGAGAAAAAACACAATGTTTTAGTCAGGGTACGACATTTTTACAGGTTCTTGAAGCCCTAGGTAGTTATACCCATGTTGTACCCATGGTAGTTGCGCTGCAACGAACTGCGAGAAAAGCGGACTGCAGCCTCAGGTGTTAAGCTGTGTTGCGCGGTGCTTGAGCATCTCAGGTGGCCATGAGACCAAACGGCAACACGACTACGCTGACTGGAAATATATACGATCCTGCTTATTGTTATTAGTATTATTATTATGCAACAATAATCATCAATATTAGATACTAAAGTAGATATGGAAGAGATTGAACTTGAACGATTTATAGTATGTTCACCTATACTATAATTATAACTACAACTGCTATTATTATAATTTGTATTGTTAGTAAAACAATACAGTACTATTCATAGAGAGTAATCCATTCTGTGAACTGCGCGAGACAGCAATCACTCAAGTGGCAAGCCTGCCTGGTTCAACTCATGTCAGTCTTGCGATGCCGGCCCGCCCACTTGAAACCAGATGGCCCAATCCTCCAGCGAAGGTTAAACCAGGGCATCCCAGTTGATTTCAAGAGAACCCCTCAAGAGAACCCCCTCCAAACAAAAGTAAACTGCCTGGGCCGGGATGGAGCGCATTTGCCTCTGCGCCGGTAGGGTGGTTCTCACAAAAGGTGTTGCATGTTCCTAACCTCTGGTGGGTTCGATGCGGGGGCGGGGGATAAAACTGGAAGCCCTAAAGCCCTAGAAGGGGGCGGTCAAGGCAAGCTGCATATCAACTCCCCCCCCCCCCAAACTGTGCGCTGCGGTGGTCAAGCTGCCAGCGAAACAAACCTGCACACATGCATGCCGGTATTTTCGGGGTGATGAGAAATGTCGCCTCCAAACTTAATGTTGAGAATCTTGTAAAATGCGTGCTCTGTGAATGATTAACAGCTGGGTTTTAAGGAATGCCCAAAATGGGTCAGGATACAGACCTCTGGATGATTTTGAGACAAGGGTGCCACCCTTGTGGGATCCAAACCACTGGTAGCAGCTCCCGAAAATCTGAGTTTCGTAAACGGTTCTGTATAGCTAACATCCGCAGTCCTCGCAGTGCAAACTGCAAAGCCCATGTAACCCATGTATTCACATCGAAACACCTTGCCAGATTTAGAGAAACCTCCCTTCACCCACCCCTGCAGCATAATTGGACATATGGAGTCTATGTTGCAACCTTCTTGGCCCGGGGGCCTCTCGGATTTGAGTCTGTCAAGCTGACCTACGGACCCCTTCCCGTTTCGGAGATCCATGTTGCGGAACGCCGGGCGTTACGACTTGGAAGCTGCCACTCGCTTTTCTCCGCTTTTGCCACCAGCCCCTCCCTTGGGCACCAAACCTAGCCGCCGGCAAAGATCAACCCGCGCAAAACAAGTGAAGGAAACTGGACACGTTGGAAAACCTGTGGAAACTGTATCAGTACGTATTTTCGGACGCCTGTGTTGTGGATTGCTCACCAAAGTATTCTCGTCAAACTGGAATGCACCTGCATAAGGGAACCCAACAACGGCAGGTTGCTCTTGTCCTTCATTCGGAAGCTCCGTTAACCCCCCCTCTCTCCCCACAAACCTGCCAGAACTTGTAAAGACTGGGGCAATCCAAAGCAATATCCAAAAGAGACAGACCACAATTCTGAGGTATTAAGATGGATGATGCAGAGAGGAAACAAAAGGTAGGACAAATACCTTCACCTCCCCCCCACCCCCGAAGTGGGGAGAACCTCTACCCATGCTGTCAGCTTTCGCAAATCTTCGCTCTAAATCAGAGCAAGTCTGGGGGTGACTTGATACGCATGCTCTAAGCGTCCTTTACAGGGGCCCTTGTTCAGGTGACCGGCCCCGAGGCCGGCATCCGACCAACGGCAAAGCATGCGGCGCCAAGCAGCCAGCTTGGGCTTTTCCGCGGTGAAGGTGCCCACCGGATTCCTGGGAAACGAAACGGGGTCCAAACGGGTCTGTCCGAACCGCCGTGGATGAGTTGCCCGCGGTGTCCCTTGAAAAACCCTCCTAGAACGGCTGTGTCTATACATAAAATACGAGGGGACATGGTGAGTCTCCAAGTCAGGTTTGGTTTCTCGCTCTTCCAGCTGGCAAGCTGACGGGATGGTGATGCATGTTTCTGGGCTTTAACATGGTCCACAGCAGTCCACCGTTTAACCCTCCTGCTGTTTCCAATGAGGCCTGACTTGGCGTGTGTCTCGAAAAAAAGGGCAGCGGTGATGTAGAGGAGGTAGTATGTGACACTTGGTGAAGCAAGCATGTATCTAAAGAGGGTCTCCCATGGTTTCCCCGGAAGCATCCTAAATAGGTTTCACTGTAAAAGTGTCCCTGGTTTCCCTCCCTGGTCTTGCAATCGGTTCAACATGACACTCCCGATGGTCCAAGGGAAACCAGAGCCACAAGTAATTATGAGAACCCTGCAATCGAGGGACTCAGGAGTAGCCCAGAAAGATTGGGCTTCCAATTTGAGTCAAGTGGTTAAACTAGTAGAGCTCACTGTTCCACACCCGGCTGCAAACCCTAGCCCATGGCCGTACAGCCGGTTCCATATAGGTTCTCTCTCTCTCTCTCTCTCTCTCTCTGCCGTTGCCGTATCCCTGGTTGGTTCCTTCAAATTTGCCGCCAGAGTCTCCCGAAGAGCCGCCGCAAGTGCTTGGCAACCGCCTTCGCCTCCTGCTGAGTCAGCAGCGCCTCCCAGCGTCCAAAAAGCGGCTTTCAGGTATGGCATTTGGAGGTATCGAAGTTATTCTGTGTATATGTAAAGAGAGAGAGAGAGAGAGAGAGAGAGAGAGAGAGAGAGAGAGAGAGAGACTGCTTGTATAGAGGTATATGTTGTACTGCGTTGCGGATTTATATGTGGTATGTAAGCATCCACAACTCCAAGACCATGGGGAAATGCCCAACACAAATGTCCAACTTGTACAGTTGGATGAAAGCACAATCAATTTTGAAGTCATCCTCTTTACTGACCCACAGTAACAAACAAAAGTATGGGTCAGCCTGGTGTGCCCCACTGGACAACATGCAGCCAAGTCAATGATGTCCAAGAAGGGCTCCAAGGGGACCGAGCCTAAACAGAATGGGAAGTTGTCCTGGTAACTAGGTGAGAGAACAGCATCCTAGGGCGATATAGAGATTCATGTCTGAGTTCTGAGTTGCCAAGATTCGTTCAAGCAAACTCATTGTCCGAGGGGATGGTCTGTTTGTTGTTTCGCGGCTTGTTCAACTATATAACACCTCAACAATGAAGACCCCAAGGTAAAAACAACAAACAAGTCTCTGCAGAACAAGTCATTCCCAAGTCCCGCTGCACCCCTGCCACCCATGTTCGCTTTGCTTCTCTGACCGTGGTTCCTCAGAAGCCCTTCGAACGCAGAATGCGACGGCAAACTAACAGTCCGTGCCTCCTTGGAGTTCTCGTTGCTCAAGAGCCTTGCAAATGGCTGGAACTAGGACCCCAGCACAAAGCTTTAGCCTTGGCTCGTGGAAAAAGGGCACCCCAAAAAGCAAAGACAACATAAAGGGGAGCTCATTCTGGGGAAGGAATGATCTCACAAACGGTGCTGGACCGTTCCTCATGGGTCTTTCGCGGTCTTGCGTTTGGTAACGGCTCCCAAAAGACAACCACAGAGGTAGCTTGACTGAGACCGTGGCCTTCTGCGTTCCTTCCAGCTCGCCTTTGGAACGTCGTTTGGGGGGGGTCTAATTGTTGCTTAAAGGTTTGAGATTTTAAAGCACAGATTTAAAGCACGAAGCCCATGACAATCGGATCATATGGCAAAGAAATTGGAAAATTGGGCAACCCTGTTTTGGGTTTTTTGCTGACTCACACCTCCCCGTCGACTTTTCAACCGCTTGGTATCTGCTTCTATCTTGGGGTGCAAACAAGGAACCCTGACACAGACATATATATATATATATGTATATATATATATGTATCCGTCTATATAAACAGCGCGTATGGTGTTTCACATTTAATTAAGCACTCAAGCTTCCCCGTGTTTTCCGGACTGACGTGATTGACATCTCAGGGATACACATATATTTATGGCCGATAATTATCCGGTTGAAGGTATAAAAAATAGCAGCCGCCCAGCTTAGGGGCCGCGTTTCTCACCAAAAACGCCTTCTGTCCCCAAAAACGGCCCCTTGGGGCCGCGTTTCCGGGCCGCATGGCACCCCGTGCCCCCTCCCCCCCCCCCGCTTCGCGTAGTCGGCCGCCGAGGTGTCGAAGAGCTGCGTGGAGTCCAGCAGCTCCAACTGCCGGGCCACCGTGCCTAGAGCGACCGGTGGCCGGTGGCCGGTGGCTCGGGGTTTTGGGGGCTGGGGCCAAACCCAAAGACACCCGAAAAATGGGAGAAAGACGAACAAATGGAGCACGTTTTGGGTGGTGTGTTTGGGGTCACCCGTGGTTGGGGCCAAAGGGCGACGTATTTTGTCACGCCCCAAACGCACCGAACAAATTGGGAAAGACCGAAAAATCAACCACTTTTTTGGTGGTGTGTTTGGGGTTACTGTGGATGAGCGAAATTCCGAAGGCACGAAATGAATCCATGGAAGCCAGAAGGTTTCTTGGCATTTACGTTGGGAAGTCGAATCAGAAACCAGGGTTTCTGAACAGTGGTGCGAAAATGATTTCGCCACCATCCACAGCAATTCGGGTTGGGTTTGAAGGGAAACCAAAGGCAAAACCACAATTTTGTTTGGGGGGTCCGCTGTTTCAAAACACCCTCATACTGGCTTTGTCTCAAAGGGTGGGAACCCCATAAAATGGGCAGGTTCCCTTTTGCCTTTCCAATCTTCCCAGAAAGGTACCCTCAACCAAAAGTCACAACCGACTTGGATGCTCAACTGAGCTCATTTCGGAATTGGGGCAATAGGGGCTTCACCTCAGTTTGTGCGATAAGGGAATCCGCTCAGTCAGGGACTCTTTAAGGGATACATCCAAAAGCCACCTTTAAAGGGCTTCAAGGAGATCCTCAACAAATCAGCTGGTAAAGGTTACAACCATTGTTGCAATTGCGACTGTGGTTAGTTCCGCTATCATCAGAATAAGCGTGGGCTACTGACGAAGTGGTTGAACATCCAAGTCAAGCACGGGGGCCGAAAAGGGATACTCCGCTTCGGATGAAACCCAAGGATAACAAGATCCGATTCCTCTCAAAATGGATCGTTTGTGGGGGTCCCGCGTTCATCTGCATGCACGGAACCGGGGGGCTCTGACAAATGGAGAGACCTCCAGGTGCTGTTCTCTTCCAGTTCCACGTATTCATGATAATGGCTGGTTGTCCTGTGCTAGTTCCGTACCCAAAAATGACAACAAGGGAAAGAGCGGGTGTATGTCGGGTGCTTGAGCTTACAAGGAATAGCGCATGCTCAAAAAGCACATCCCTGTTCCGTGAAAGAGCCAGCACAAAACGAGCAACTCAAACAAGAGAGCCATGCACAACGTGTCTATCTCGCGAGTGATGCGGAAAAGGCAACTCCACCTGCAGCAAATGTAGTTGCCGGAAAATTGGGTTGCTCAAATGGGGGATTGGATCCCTGATCATCTTGCCTGACGACTAAGGATTGTCTTTTGGACCCTGGTGCCCAAATTGTCCCCTTCCGGCGACTCCAGACACATCTTTAGAACTTTTAGAGCACGGGTGCAATTTGCAGCTGGGACACTTGTGATGCCTGCCATCCTGAAGAAGTTGTACTCCCGCGTCCTGCGATCTTGAGGCCTTTTTCTTGGTTGCTGTGGACCCCCCTGCAGAAAGTGTAACTGTTCGTGGGTTTCATGCAAAACCCTTGAGTTCCCAAAAAGTTAAAGTCTAAACATCCAACCCAATACTTTTAAAGTGCCTCGTTGTTGGCCTTGAGGGGAAGAGGAGTCACCAATTCAATTCGGGTGCTCCGAATAGGTATACAACAGGCAGCTGGAAAAGAACAAGACAAGAAAGCACAGTCAAATGTCTATGTTTTTGCCTGCAGCTTTGCGCATCGACTCGGCAAGAGTGACCACGCTGAAGAGTTAGTTTTCTTTTGCCTGTTGAAAGGGAAGCGAGTGAACACTACCAAAAAAAATGAAAACGGTAGTCTCTGATTCATAAACCCCAGTGAATGATCAGGCCGCAGTGCTCCTGCAAAAAAAGGACTTCCCGCTGAAAAGGGGCCCTTCATATCAAAGTCGGGGGCTTATCATCAATATGTTGAAGGTGAAGCCGGATAGCAGCCATGGGTTTTACTCAGATAAAAGGGTTCCTCCAAAAGGGCGTGCATATCAAATCACCTTCAGCGAATGAAAGGTGCATATACGTTTTGTAAGCTGTGCAAAGGTTTTGGCCGGGGAGTCACTAAAGAAGGGAAACACTAGGCTTTTATGAAGCAATTTGGGTGCGTTCTTGAGGGTATTGTTGTTCAGCCAGGTTTGAGGGGAGACAAGGCAAAACGCAGTTGTCGCGTTCTTGGGGACCCCTGTAGGGGGTCTCTGGATTCTGGATTGCATCCTCTTCCAAAGTTGCAGACTGGCGAGTTTCTCACAAATGCAGCTTTTGGAGACATCCAAAAAAAAGCAAAACAATGAAAGGACAGCCCGTGCCATGGACAAATGTTCAGTCTATGTTGTAAACTCCAACCCTTAACACCCGAATTCCCCCCCCCCCCACAAAAAAAAGAAAAGCTGATTGCAAAAATACACCCCAAGTCTCCACCACGTTTGACAGAAGTTCCAATAACAAGTTGCGATTTTCCAGGTCTGGTCTATTGACTCTGCTACTTGAGGCGCCATACGCACCCCTGGATTTCCTCCACGGAGCAACCAGCAAAGCCGCCAAGCCCTTCATGAGCTCGCGCTTCGCCTCTAGCTTCTTAGCCCCATGGATTGGCCAAATGTGTAGTGCGTGGCGTGTTCTTTGGCTTGGCTTAAAGGGAAACTAAAAAGAACCCGGACAACCGGCCAAAGTGGCCCGTCCCCGTAATTTGACACAGATCCATGTTTACCAAACAACGAGAAAAGGATCCTTCAATAGACACCTAATTGGCAGGCTTCGCCTGTTGACCTCTTTTGTAGAAACTTGGGACCCCTTCGGGCAGGGCTGTTCGCTTGAGCTTGTTTGCCGCTGGCCAATTGACTTATTCTCCAAAGGGCAAATGCCAAACCCTGGAAGGAACATCTGTGGTGTTGTGTATAAGTAGCAGGCTTACTTTCCAACCACTCTCTAATTACCTAAGCGCCCGTATCTGCTGGCTGCAGCAGGCTGGTTGGAAGGTGCACGCATTTTAGCGCAGGCATTTGCCTGAGTGAGCGAGCAAGTCATCCCTCTCACTTAAAGGAACTTCACTTTAACTTGGACCATAAGGTGATGCTTGAAAAGTTCCTCGCGCCCAATCCCAGATGGTTTCGTGGCTTCCCCGAAAAGAAAAAAACATGGACCCGGCTCTCTTTTTGTTTTTTTTCTCTCTCTCTCTCTCTCTCTCTCTCTCTCTGGGGTCACTGGGTACTTGGATGCTCAACTCTTTGCTCCTGTTTCATCCCCTGAAAGTGCAGGGGGTGGGACCGCCGGGCCCCCCGCCAGTTGTCACCCTCCGCTCCGACAATTCCATGTTCGAGGGGTGTGATGTAGAAACTTGATGGAAAAAAGAAACAACAACCCCCAAAACCAAATGTGGTTTCGTCTTTGCTTTGCTACTTTCAACCGCCATAATGGCTACATAGCAGTCCCAAAACCTTGTTCGCAAGGGCATACCTGTAAGATGAGCATTGCCCTTCCTGGGAAACTAATATTTGACCCCATAGAAGTGCCAATTGTCTCTGTAAGGGCGGCCCCGAAGTTCTCCGAACAAAGGTGTCATAGAGGGTCCCTGAACAGCAGTTTATTTCAATGAGTCTATTTCAATCAATTGCAAAGTGCCTTTGCAGAACCTCTTGACTTGGGGAAACCACTGACAGGAAAGAAATGTAGGAAGCCCAGTTGTTCAGCGATTTGGCCCTTTGAATGAAAAAGGTGACATTCCACGCGGTAGTTGGATGAACAACGAAACACTGGCACAGCCTCCAAATAGGTATTTGTTGGAACTAGGAAACTCGTGGCTTGCAGTTGGGTTCCATTTGCCTTCTTTGACTCAAATTGGCTAGATAGTCATTGATGTCATGGTCCGAAGTCCGCAGTCAAGTACGGCTTCGCGTCGCGTTGCCAAAGGGTGCTGTGTGGAAAATCGATGTTTCGTTCTTGTCTCGCAAAAAGCAACATGCAGCCCCGAAAGCAGGAGGATTTGACTGATACAGGTGTCTTTTACGAGTACCCATTTGAGGTCGCTACTTAAATGACAACCAAGGGCACCGTCATTTCCTTCCGCATTTTCAACACATCGGGAATTCAACCCCACACCCTGGCCTCATCCAGTGGCAAACGGAACCAGGAAGGGTGCGGCATCACGGGGAAAGGCACGCTGAAGTCTCTCCTTACTTGACACCGCCCTGGAACAGGGTGGTACTGACAAGCTCCCTTTGTTTGGGACAAGCTGGATATGAAAACCGAGAGGAATCGGTTTCAGGGTGCTGCCTTCAGTTTCAAACAGGAGTACCTTCTTGGAGATCCCCTGCCAGCTAACGTCCATAAACTGAGAGTGCAAAAGGAGCTGTCTGCCTCAAAACCTGCAACGTCAGGCCCTTCGCACAAGTTCAACTTGTTGTTCATGGGTGAAGGGCTTTTTCATCCAACCAGGTGGGGTCCTCATTTGGAGCCGGGGATCAACACATGCGTTTCGATGTCTCACATTGCTGGCCACCTTTGGCCCAGCTGCTTCCATCGGGCCAAGGTGTGCTTGGCAAAGTCATCGATCTCACCTGGGCGCCAAGGCGGACCGCCCTACCTCCGGCTGAAGTGCGCGGCGCGAAGTGTGCTGTCTGGGCGCGAATCTCTGTGTCCGTCGTGTGGCAGTGTGTTTGCCTGGCTCGCCTGTCTGTCTGGCTCCTTCAGCCTGTGTCTGTTCTGTTCGTGTGCGTGTGTGTCTGTGGGTCCTTGGTTGTGTCGCTATCTGTGTGTGTGTGTCTTCGTTTCCGTGCTTGTGTGGGTTTGTGCTTGTATCCGTGTTCTGGCTGTCTTTGATGTGTGGTGCACGTTTCTGGAAGATAACTTTTCGCAAAAGCCGCTGGATGCAAGCTGTTACATTGTAACAAAGGGGAAAGCAGTGCTTGGCGCTTCCGCAGCTCCAGCTCGAAAGTTGCAACTGTTCAGCATAAGCCAGGTGACGGCAAAAAAGTGGTCGCCGGACCCAGGCTGGGGTTGGGTATGCAACAATGGCACAGAAAGAGGATTCTTCCGGGCCCTCCTTGCTAGCTGCAAGTTGACTCTGCAGAGGCATGTCCAGGAAAAGCATGCTCTGCAGGCACCCTCGGAAAATCACTTATTCTGGACAATTATGCAACAGGAGGGCACAAAACCAGCCAGGCAGATTTGTGAATGTGAATGTGAAGCATGTGACGAAGATATTGTAACGATCTTGTTGCATCATGTTGCATAGGGTATGCCACAGGGTAACGAATGTCCACCGCGACTCGGTTACATACCGCTGAAATACAATCAAATTTGTGCAGCTGCGGTGCATGGAAGCAGCTCCCCGATCCGGAGTCGATAACGGACAGTCCTCACAGCAAAAAAGGCACTTCATGCCTGCTGGTTCGAGTTATCTCTGGCAACATTGAACCCAACAGGGTGATCCGGGGTCAAAGTTCGGAGCAACCCTGCTACTTTAGAAACAAAGTTCCCGTGAAAATGAAGTTGTTAGGTTGCATAAGCTGCACACTTCCATGAGAGTGAAGGACGTGCACAATCTCACCCCTCTGATTTCAATCCCATTTTGAACTCACAATGCCTCAAAAGGACAAAACGCCGACCCGGGATACATGTTTTGACCGGTGCCCCGAAACTCTCTTTGTGTCTTAGAGGAAAACCGAAAGGACACGATACAATTTTCTGCACTTGAGGTTTGGTCATCTAATGGGCAGTTCCTGAACATCACTTCAATGGCAAAAGGTGATGTTCAAAACCACCAAAAGGCGAAATATCGGGAATCCTGTAGACTGGAAGGACGAGGCTAAATCACAAGTCAGCAGGTTGCTTCGCTGACAACTGCGCGATTTATCATATGACTCGCGGCAAGACAAGCAAGCCAATTGATTGCCAAGCAGCCAGTAAAGACCAATGTTCTGCTGGCATTGCTGCAGCAGGTGGCGATCAAGGGTCCCCAATCTTTCAGCTTCCGTTGGGGCAGTGTGATGCACACCTTGGAGCGAAACACTTTTGCGAGGTCGCAACGTCGCGTGAGAAGAATCCCTGGAGAGAGAAAACCCACGCTGTGCAACCCTAGTTTGTACAGTGGAGGCTTCCAACAACGAGAAATCTGAATGGCTGAGGTGATGGACTATGAAGAGACAAGCGTCTCGGTGTGAACAAGCACGTCTGAATAGCAGGTTTTCAGCACGGTTGGGAGAGAGCCGCCTTCAGGTTTTTCTTGAACCTTGATGCTCAACATTATGCTTTGGAACCTGCAACTAGCGCGGCCCCGGATTTTGTGGATTCAAGCTAGGCTTGTGGCTCATCCCTCGCTGACCGGAAAAGCCGAGTGCTACTTCTTTTGCGCTTGCAAGCGAAACACACTTTGGTGCGTGTGGTTCTCGCAGTCAGCACATCCTGGTAGAATAATGCCAAAATAGGAAGCTTGAAGGGCGACTTCAACCACAAGGTGTCAATCTGGTCGATTCGCGTTACCACAGTTTGGCATGTCGTTTTTGTTTCAGCCAACCCCTGGCCTTACCCTCCTGGACTCTAAGGGGATCAAAAGGGAGGTTGTGTCAACAACGTAGTCTTCCATTTGCTTCAGCCTGGCAAAAATACAAATATTGCCAGTAGTAATAGCTTTAAAACCAGGAGATGAAACAAAAAACAACAACATATTATTAAGCAAATTGAGGTAGTGGTTTCAGCACGGTTGAGCCAGGCAATCGACAGGCGATAGGGATACCAACAAAGTGCTGGTCTCCTTGCCAACATGGGCACATGGGCTTGTCGCAAAATAGGAGTCCACCAGAAGGGTTGGCTTCCTTTGGGTGTCGTTTAAGAACCCATCAAAACGATATTCCCTCAAAAGCAACAGGCTCATACTGTGGATGGACGAAATCCTGCACCACTTTGAAGCCATGGCAAAACATGGTTCGTTTGCATTTACATGGAAATCATCATTCCAGGGTTTCTTAGGTGGTGCAGGATTTCGTCCATCCACAGCATCCCGCCACGGAGAAGCGGCAAGTCTCATCTCGCGTCAAGGCGCGCACGAAGCTGATGCCGTGGGTGGCCAAATGCAGCAGCGACTCCGCCCCAAAGTCCGAGTTCACCTCTTGCGCGGGAGGACTTGGGGTTTCAACTGGGAGCTAACTCTGGGATTTGGTTGGCTTGCAGTCCCAATGGACAGCTTGTCACAAGCGAATGCGGCAACAACACCGCCACCAAGGGATCTGGCAAACATAAACCATTGCGCCTCCCCATTTGGCTTGAGTTTGAGTAAAGTCCGAAAACGTCTGACTCCTTGTGTACTCCGTACTTGCGGTTTACCCTTGGGATACGGAGGGCTTGGGGCCGGGGGGGTGGGGGGTGCTAATCCACAAGGCAATTTTTGCTAGTAGCCACTTGTTTGGGGTCCTCAATGTTTTTCGGGTTCCCTTTTTGCCTTGAGCTTCCCGCAATCTGATGGGCTTCCCGTGCTTAATTTCTTTGAGGTACTCCGTGTAACTTTGCTCCACTTCTCTTAAACTGGATTTTTCATGACACACTTCTGTCATATCAATATCTCCAGTTTTCAGGTACGCCTTGTTTGTTTTGGGGGCGGTCCCTCCATTTCTATCCCGGTCATCCGCGTGTTTATGGTCTCCAAGTTCCTCCTGGTGTTTTTGGGCCAAACAAGGGTGCCAAACAGTGGGTGGAATCCACATGTGGGGCATCCAAACTGCCTGGAGGCATACCACAAGGGATCGTTGAGAATACCTGTGGAGACCAGGAACATGCGTGGACCCTGGTAGATATGGGTCTGTTCTTTTTGTGAGGGTGCCCTGGTTTGGCTGTTTCAAAGGGAAGCCAACAAGAACACCACCATTTTGGGGTTCAAGAAAGAGACACACCCATAATATGGCAGTGTTGAGGTTGGAACCCTCCCAGGTCTGAAAGCGTCCCACAACGGAAGCCAGCCCGATGT